GTATTTTATATTATAATTTTCTTTTTTTTACTTTCTTTACTATATTTTTATTAAAACTAAATAGTTATAATATTTTTACCTACCTTATATTAAATAAGGCTATATATAGAACTATATATCTATATATTTTTTCTTATTTTTATTTTTAAATCTTCTCTTTAGTATAATCTTAATATATAAATTAGTAGTATTTTTTATATATAAAGCTTTTTATTCTATCTTCTATATATTATAATAGCTAATAATTATAATTTATATATATTTTAATACTTTTTATATTATATTTAATAAAATCTAATTTAGTATATAATTCTAATATAAAATAAAGAAATTTAATTATATTAATTAAAAATTAATAATTAATCTTTTATTTTTAATATATTATATATATTTATTCTATATAAATTTAAAAGGAATTTAAATTTACTTAAGATCTTTTTTAATATAAAATAATATAGATAGCTCTTAATAATCTTCTAAAAGTAGTTTCTTTAGCTATTAATATTCTTTTTTATTTCTAGCTCTCTAAAGAATTACTTTTTAAACTTCTCTCTATCTTTTAGTATCTTTTTATCCTTATCTTAAGACTTTAAGTAAGAATATTTATAAACCTTATAGTTAGATAAACCTTATAATTAGATAGAAAGATAAATTAATTATTTTACTATAAGTTATACTTATAGATATTTTTTACTATATATTATAATTAAAAATTAAAAGAAAAAGAGAGTAAGATTTTAAATAAGAGTATTTATTTAAATAAAATCTATATTTAATTAGGTATTTTTACTATTAATATTATTCCTAATTAGGAAATCTTCTTATTATTCTATATTATTCCTAAATAAATAATCCTTTAAATTTAAATAATTAAATAAAGAAAAATCTTAAAAATATATAGAAAAAAAATTTAAAATATAGATTTTTTAATAGATTTATTAAGATTTTAAAATATAAATTTAATAAGATTTTTTCTTCTAAGTTTAAACTAAGTTTTTCTATCTAATTAATAATCTAATTAAAAATAATAATCTTATTATTAATAAGATTTTATTTAGATAGAAATATCTAATAAAGAGAAATATAATTTATTTATATAGTAAAAAAGTAAACTAACTAATTACTATTAAAAGCTAAAAGTTTATAAGTAGTATACTCTGTACTATTTTAAAGAAATATATTATCTTTACCTTAGTACTCTGATTTTCTTACTGTATTTCCATTCTAATTAGATACTTATTAGTTAAGCTATACTCCAAATCGATTTGTAGTTATATAATCCGCTGAACAGGCTGTAAAACTGGGACACCAAGATTACGCGCTTTTGAGATAATACAGTCTTACAACGCGTCACGTTGTTATTAATAATTGATCTGATGAGTGAGACGCGTATTTCTCTAGTTATTTTAAGTTAGCGCAATTCATCTAAGCTCACTGTAAAAGTGACGAGATCCTCCCTCAGCCTTTTATCTCATGTGGACGCCCGGAATCGCCTCTATAGCGAGCTCCCGCGTCCACTCTTCCACGTCAGATTGCTTGCGTTGCTCAAACGATGCTCTACCCTTCCTGATATCCCGCCCCGTGAGCTCTGTAGGTCTATTCCAGTACGATAACAGACTATAAGCCAGGTGAGAGTTCCTGAGTGCTATTTCCCGATACCAAACCGATTACCAAAGAAATCTAGTGGCGAGATAAACGCGATAGTCTCACGTGTCGCTAGATCACTGCCGTCAAGTGGCCCGTCTCCACGCAGCACGAGCGTGATATTCTTTGCATTAGTGAATAGGAAAAGGTCTTTCAAATGCTCCCAAGTTCGTCTTGCCACGATGTCTCCGCTAGGCTGATGCGATCCGGACCATTACCTTTCTCTTCTTCGTCAATGCCGTCATGAGGATACAGTGGGCTGTCTTATAAAAACTGTGCCACGGTCTGGTCATGAAGCATTTCGCGGACTTTTATCAAGTCGCTTGCGAATAAAATCGCTTCATCGTCATTTGGTTGTAGTTGTGATAACGAATGATGTGTGAAGGGGTTATTGCTGTGATGTCGATTAAATGCTGGGGCAGCTTGACGGTCGAAACTAGAGTCTGAAATTTCCTCAAGGGGAAAATGGAGAGAGGCAGTGAGTACGAGCAAGTACCTACTTACAAGCCGGGCGACTTCGTAGCGTCCTTTTATCCGATCGCGCTTTATCCGATCGCGCCATCGGTCGGCCCATAAGGGCGGGAACACATAACAGGAAAAGCCGTGGGCTGCTCTATAAGGCTTAGCCCGAAAGCCATTGTTTTAAGCCCAAGCTATTGACGGGGATGTAATTCATGTCCTCTCCAATACCTTACATAGAGTGGCATTCTCATTTTGAGCCAGCTCGTATCCCAGTTTATCTCATTAGAAGAACTCCTATTATATTTCATTATCGTTTAATTCATGGATTCTGGTCCTTTATCTCATCGAGTTACTTCTCAGGGAGGAAACGATAAACTATCAGCGCTGGCTTGCATCCAGTGTCGACGAAAGCATGTCAAATGCGATGCTGGTGTTCCCGAATGCCAACGATGTAGATCTACTGCAACGCAGTGCTACTATCAACCTTCGCGTCGCGGCTTGAGAAGGAGAAACGTCTATCTTAAACATTCCTTGCGATCGGGTCCGGGACCAGGCTCGGGAGCATTTATCGTATCACCAGGGGAGAGTACTGAACGGGGAGAGCCAGAGCAAATTGTTTGGGATTCTACCGATCTACAAACTCCCTTGACCAACTTACAGCACCAAATTGAGACTGATCAAAGCCACTGGGAGCGGCAAGGCTTCACTTCAGCTCCAATGCGGGATCAACAACCTGTCCAACCTCGCGACAATTTCGCCCCGATACGAGAGCAGCAGCCGGACGAGCCTGGCAACGGTATCCCGCCAGCCAGCTTGGAAGAAGAAATAGTAGAAGACGATGAGCTGCTGATCAATTTATTTTATACAAACTTCCATTTCGCCCATCCATTTTTGGTTCCCCGAGGCCTCTACTTCTCACAGAACTATCCTCCGTTTCTGCGAGTCGTGGTTCATTTGATCGGCTGCCACTTTTCTGGCACAGCTTGCAGCGAAACACTGGAAGGCATTTCTTGTCGGTTGATTGAACGAGCTCGAAGTGATGGTAATCGTGGCTTCGTCTTGGTGCAAGCAATGTTGCTTTTATCCATTGCTCTACACGCACGCAACGATTCGAACAAATCAGTCTCGATGTTGTCCAAGGCCGTTTGCTTGGCCATTGACATAGGTCTGCATCGCAAAGACCACGCACTCATTTACGGTAAGGGATCCCCAGTGCTAGAGGAGAGTCTAAGGAGAACATGGTGGGAACTGTACGTGACAGACGGCTTCGTGGCGGCTTTGCAGCAAAGGACGGGCTTTCGCTGCTACGCCGTCGAGACAGACGTGCCGCTCCCATGCGATGAGTCCATGTACGTCGAAGGCGGTTTCATTGTGCAACCCACAACGCTTTCTCAGTTTGACGGTCGGATATACACCGAAGATGAACTTCGCTTCTCGTCCTTTGCGTATAGGATAGAGGCGGTTCGCATTCTTGGACGCGCCCTTGCGATAGCTGGGATTCACGATATCCACCGAGATCAGATCCAGGGCATTGAGAATGCGTTGGCCGCCTGGCCGCATTATCTAGACCTGGGAAAAGTTGAACCCATTGATGTTTCAGGCGAGGTTGACAACATGCTGCTGCAGGCCCATATGCTGATACAGTACACCATCATGATAATCCATTTTCCTCGGAGCGATCTTATAGACGCCGCCACGACCACTGCGAGCGATATTCCGACCTCCTCCCTCCTGCCTGTTTACTCCCGGTCGATGCACGGGGTCAAGGCTGTCGAGGCAGCGAAGCGTCTTGGCGACCTGGTTGCCTTGCAGAATTCAGCGAAGAAATACTCGCCCTTCTTTCTAAGCGGACTTCTTCTCAGCAGTGTTGTTCAGTTATCTGCCTGTTTTCTCCGCCCCTCTGGATTTCAGCAGCACTATCGTGATCGTCTCTGCCTGATTACAGGCTTGCTGAGAACATTGAGTCCAGTTTGGGCGTTAGCACGCTCAACTTGGGCAACTATAAATGCAATGACACTGGAGGCTCTGGCCAAGAACAACGAGTTGATATCTGGGCAAACCAAGTCTCTTGGTGACAGTGCTATCGACGTGGGAGCCTCAGCAGCTGAGCTCAGTATTACGGATTTTTCATGGATGGGGCTTCTAACTTGGGATCCGGGAGAATGAAAACGGAAAGGCGCGATCATTCATTAATATGCACTATCTGAAGTTAGAGAAGTTTATCATGTCACCTTGGGTGAAGTATTGGAATGAGTTGGCCTTCTTCTGGACACAGTAGGACCGTGTTTGAACCTAAGTCTCGATGTCTCCTTGCTTTAAACTGCTCAAGCACCGAATGCCACTAACAAATAGGCCGTCTTGCACCTCATCTCACCTTCGTCAATAACCACTCCTGTGGACGGAAGACTTTCGGGCCTAGGCTTTCTCTTTCTCGTTTACTCTGACCCTTTGTCTTCAAAACGGCTTCGATGCGGCTCTGGATGGATCCACCATACGATAATTCGGCGGCATCTCGCTGCCGCATTTTGCCACCGGTGTCTAAGTGGATCTCTCTCGAACAGGACACGATAATTGCAGATGTTGAAGACTGGACCTTGCGCAGTTGATTGTTTGGGAGAGACAGAGATCTCCGTAACGTCCAACAGAACAATGAGTAGCATATTCAAGAATCACCTTACTGTTCGCGTTTCGGTAATCTGTCTCACAAGAACTATGGATGCAGGATTTGACAACCGACTGTAACGTGTGAATGATACCTGAAGAAGAGGGGGAAATCTAATAAGAAAGAAAAGAATCATGAAGTATCGCAAGGCCAAGAAAATATTTAGCCCTTTTCTTACACCTGCTCAGGCCTGAATCTATCCGTCCCTCTTGTTCGGATTCATTGCGGAGCTAACCCGCTTCTCCATTGTCTAGTTTGTAAGTGTACATGAACTCCTCTTAAGCTGGAAATGTAAATAATTGCTGGTGAATCTAGAGTACCAAATGGAAATTACGCGCAGTTGCTGCTAGTCGTTGATGCGTAGTCGTGCACTCGGATGCAACTTGCCGGCGAGCGTATTTCAGCCATACCCTGTGCGTGCTTTAGTGTGCGGCTCGGACTCTCCGACCCCTTTCGATAAGTAGTCCGAGATAGCTATATATCTCTTACCCATAATGCTAAGCCCGAACTGGACGATAGACGCCGTCTGTGAGCTTAATGGGGAATTAGGGATGATACGGGAGCTTCAAATCACCCTATTTGGGACCCACGAATCATATTCAGCTCAGATGATGCCATCGCAGCTCGATATTGTAAACGCCGGAGAAGTGATCCGGCAACATATGCACGATTGCCTGAGATTGAGAGACGAGTACCAACTTTGAGCATCAAGCAAAGGACATTAAAGAGGCCACAGCCTCACCGAGGTGAATGGGTTTTGTTTCCGCGAACAGCACCTAGGTCGAGCAAAACATCGAAAACATCTGAAACTCGCCGCATTGTGAAGATTGCCACACATTCATTATCTAAGATGAGCACCGAGAAGCAGCCCGCACCTGAAGTTGCCAGCGGGCGCTCAAGCAGCTCTATTCGCGAGCGCAAGATCATCTCCAGCAAGGCGGCGGATGAAACCTTTCAGCTCATTGAACAGTATGGGGAAAGCATTGGAGAGCTGACGCCAGAAAAGCTCAAGGCGCTGAAAAGGAAGCTTTATATCTATGTTCTGCTTCTGGTTACTTTCATCGACTTTATGCTTTATGTATGTTCATTTGGGGCACTGAGAGACAATTCCGAATAATGCTAATGCCACTTTCTAGGTCGATAAATCCACTTTAGGTCAAGCAACTCTTCTGGGTCTTTTCCAGGACACTGGGCTGGATAATGCTCAGTACAACAATCTCAACTCGCTGTTCTATACAGGTAGATGAAAATAATCTTTGAGACTACTTAGCCAGGAGCTAACTGGATGCTTAGGCTATATCCTCGGCCAAGTTCCAGGTCAATTCCTGATCCAGCGTCTCCGCCTTCGGACTTACATCTCTGGAACGATCTTTGTATGGGCTGTCATTGTATTCCTCCACTGTGTGGCAAAGAGCTATGGTGCTCTTATCCCGCTCAGGTTCTTCCTCGGATTCGTTGAATCGCCTATGATCCCTGCTCTGGAGGTCACCATGAACATGTTCTTCACGCCAGAGGAGGTCCACCAGGTCCAACCCCTCTTCTACATCTCCTGCATCGGCTCGCCCATGTTCACGGGCCTCGTCTCGTATGGCCTTCTTTTCAGCAAGGTCAGCGTCAGCCCGTGGAAGTTCTTCATGATCATTACTGGCGGAATATCGCTTCTGCTGTCTGGACTCACTTGGGTAGCATATCCCAATAATCCTGCAACGGCCTGGTTTTTGAGCACAGAAGAGAAAATTCAGACTATCCGTCGGGTTCAAAATTCAACGAGAAGCGCTATTGAGCAAAAGACTTTCAAGAAGCATCAGTTTTATGAGGCCTTACGGGATCCTGTATCTTGGCTCTTTGCCAGTGCAGGCTTCACACTAATGCTGGCGAATAATCTACCCTACCAGCAGAGTCTTTTGTTTCTTGATCTGGGTGTATCGGATCTTGGATCGACCTTGGTTTGGGTTGCGTCTGGTGGCTTTGCGATCATCTGCGGCATCGTCGCCTTCCTGCTTATCCGCATTTTCCCTGGTTACAACGCCTACTGGGCAGCACTATGGAGTCTGCCATGCATTGCTACCAGCATTGGCATGGTCACCATCTCCTGGGGCGAGACAATCCCCATGTTGGCCTGCTTGCTGATCCCTCCCAATTGCTTTGCGCAAACATGGATCATCTCGGTTGGCTGGCTGTCCTCGAGCTGTGCTGGCTACACTAAGCGACTCACTCGTAACGCTATGTTCATGGTCTTTTACGGGATCTCAAACATTATATCCCCGCAGCTGTGGAAGTCGGGAGGGCCGCGCTACTATGGTGCCTGGATTACTCAAATTGTTGTCAGCTTCACCTTAACGCCGCTCATTTTGATCCTCATCAGGTATATTCTCTCTAAGCGAAACAAGGAACGTAGACAGTGGATCGCAGAGCAGGTTGCATTGGGCAACCATGGTGAGGGATATGTCGAGCAGTCTGAAGATGGAGGCGAGACCGTCAAAGTCAAGGTTGACGTTGCTATGCTCGACCTGACCGATTTGGAGAACAAGTATTTCCTGTATCCTCTATAGTATTGAAGCGGATCGTTTCTAGGAGCAGCCAACAAGGGGAAATATGAATATTATATACGGTATAGGTACTCTTTTACTTTTAATAGCTATATATTGCACAACTTCCGTTCATAGTTACTGAATGGCATAAATGTATTACTGTAAAACGATACGTGTTCTTTTTGCTACTGTGCTAGCAACTCGCCCTTGAAGCAGCGGAAACCTATGACTACCTACTCATTAACAAGCGACCGCTTTCCGCTAAGGCGAATTCTACCGACACCCAAAACCTGGCTCAGTCTTCCGATAATAAAGCTACCATGATATAAGTATCGCGTCGGGATCCGTCGCCAATACAAAGAGTCTCTTTGTTTGAAAAGGTACACCGCTTGAATCATCGCCATCGCATCGAGTTATATTCGTTTTAACAAAAGCATTCGCTCCCGTGTCTATATCTAGGCAAGGCTGATTGAACCATGGCTGAGCGTTATGTCCAAATCAACAGCCCCGTCGGCGATGCATACAAGCAGCTCGGCATCTCACACGCAGTCGTTCTCCCTACCTCAGCAAAGCGCGTCTACTTCTGGCGAGGGTGGCCTGGATCTCAAGACAGGGAAGGTGGTCACGTCGTCCCTCGAAGATCAGTTTAAGGCTGCCTTCAAGTTGGTGGATTCTTTGCTTCAAGAAGCCGGGGTTGAGAAGGGTATTGGAGGCGCCTATATAATCATGGCACTTGTTCTAGACATGAAGAATGAGGCCCTTCTGATGAAGTTCTTTAAGGAAATATACCCTGATTCAAAGCCGACATTCATGACTTATGCGGTTGCCGTGGTGGCCCTGGAAGGAATGGAAGTTGAACTTCAAGCTGAGGCATTGGTTCCTTAAATCAAAGAGCCTCTAGCTAGAGATGACGATTCCGTTGATGAGACGTACTCACAAGAACAGAGCTTCCCGCCAGATTACACGGCGGTCACTACAAGGATCACTGCCAGGGCTTCCATCAAAGTACTATTTCAATCAATACAAAGAACTGCATATTTTGTAGTGTAATCTATCAAGGGTCGGCTAAGGCATTTGTGAATATACGAGTGTAGCGCAATTCCAATTGGTGGGCATTAATTGCCATTTCTGCGTGTAACATAACCAAAGTAGATGACCAGGTAGTGTTACAGCGAGGGCGACCCCAGATGAAACTCCACGGAACTTGAGCTTCCGAGGGAAACTGCTGGGCACTTTTGTTCGTTCCCTAACTATTATGTAATTTCTGTTTTAGATTTTTTCAATATTACAGTAATTACATTCAAAACTTGGAACTTTTCGCTTATTTTCGTATTCAACGCCTAATTTTCGTATTCAACGCCTATTAAATATCGATCGAACAGCCCTGGGAATCAGCGAATCAAATTTCTATATACAACGTCTTTCTCTATACGCGCAGCATTTATACTCAGCAGATTTTTAACTTCTCAAGCATGAAGTCTTTCGCAGCAATTAGCGTCTTAGTGCCTTTCTTTTTTGGCCAGCAAGTGGTGGCAAACAAGGATGTTGTCACACTTTACGCCAAGTCCAACGCATATATCCAGGAAGCTTCAGCAACTCTTGTTCTTGGAGATGTTCCCAATCCCATTACTGGAGATGTAGCTCTTTGGAGTGCTATTATGATGGAAAATCAGGCTTCTTTCCTCCAAGGAGTTACTGAGAATGCTCCTGCCGGGTAAGATCTCAATCAATCGTGGACCTATTAAAAATAGTGCTTTTCTGAAACCTGTCAGCTTGGGATACTGTAACAACCTTGGAAAGCAATGGTGCAACTTTGCTTATGCCCTCATCAACGGGAGTAAGCTGCCCGATCAGTTTTGTGTATGAAAACCACGCTGCTAATGAATTACATATCAGGCTCCGAGCCAAAGAATGGCACCCCTGTCAAAGCGGCACCTGGCTCTCGAGTCAAGACACATTGTTTGTAAAGACTGGCTGGGGCTTTCAAACAAGTTCTAACTTATTTGTTTCGCAGACAAACTGAACTCCTCCACCCAGGAATGGGATCAGAATGTTTATATAGACAACCAACTTGTCTCTAGCATTTCTACCAGTAGGTTTCAATTACGGCCTCACCAGCATAATGCTAACGCACAGTTCGATAGGTAAGGGACAGCATGGATGGATTTTCTACATCTCTGTCGAATGCGCAGCGGGAACTTGCTCTACTGCCCCAGCTCATAGTAAGACTTCTGCATTTCCGAGTTTTGAATCAAATCGTAGCTGACAGATAACCTAGGCTGGGAAGACGTTACCATCACGCTCAGTCAAGCTGACTCAAGCTTTGGCCATACGGGCAACTGGGATCAGGGCGCCACGGGGGGAGAAATGTCGACATCTGACGGAGGAAAAACTTGGAAGCTGACCTCGCTGAAGATTCCAGCAATCAATGCTTAGCATGCTTCCAATAGGACTTCTGCTAGGTCCCTGGTGGACTCAAATTGACCATTGATCAGCATCTCACACCTTTTATTTGTATGGTTCTAACTGATTTTACTTTCCCGGTTGGCCTCTGCAATTGCGTCTGGCCTACTCTTTCAGATGTCCAAGTAAATGGCCCTCGCTTTGGCTCATTAGTTCTAGTAGTTAATGCTATACTATATGACACCTGATCAATTTCCAGATCTACAAATGTATAACTGATCGCCTCCCTATGTCACGGGTTTACTTGAAGGGATAGTGGAAACGATTTGATGTGCCTGCTTTACGCCTATTGCCCAGTCTTTCTTACTGGCCGCATTTGTCCAGATGTTATTGCCGAGGATGGGGCTGTCGTAACTATACCTACTCAATGATGTAGGCTATGAACATACTGTGTCGCTCCTCTCATCTTTCACTGTATGATACGGATCAGCGACTTGCTTTATCAAACAGAAGCACAAATCGAAGCATTCCAAGTTAGGCCTCAGCAATCCAACAACCCGTACGTCTAAGACAAGTCGATGTGGAGTGCGGTTTCGGTTTAGTGAGCACCGTCTCGCCAGGGCCGGAAGTAGTAGACATGAAGAAACATCGTACATACATCGGAACACGCCAGGCCGGAGTCGACCATGCCGACTGATCCGTGAACGACTCGACGCAGCTTAAAGTGTGGTATCCTCAAGGAATTGGTGACATTTGCCCCTCTACTAATAGGTCCCTAACATTAGTCAACATCAACCGAGCTTACACATCGCTCCTCCAGGCAATACTAAACAAGATGTTAGGTTCACTCAAATGTATCGCTACACTGAGGCGGACTGTCCTGTTGGCTGGGGGGAGACTTTCTATACACAGCCGACGATGGTGAGGTTTCTTTCAACAACTCTTCCACTTTCTGTTGATGGTTCTACTGATACGCTAAGTGATAGGCTACTAATATGAAACAGTGACCTTGCATATCTCTTAAATCTGTTCCCAATTAATTGATCCCAGCTAAGCAACTCTATAGCAATCCCCTTCCTGAATAAACTTGGCGCTACCTCATGGATTGTGTCTCAAGCGCACACTCATGCACTCAACGATCAAGAGGCACAAGTCATCTACTAAGAAGAGTTAACCATTCTGACCCTATTTGTGACATGCCAAGCTTGGGCTTCAGCCGGGCAATGGCAAATGACCTAGACAAACCCAAAACCAGGATCAAAGCTTGATCCATAAAGTTGCTTACTTGGAAGACTGTTTGCAGATGTATGAGCCTGTTGTGCGCATCGCAAGCCAGCCTCCATGGCGCCGTGGATCCATCCGTGAGTATAGCTGACATGCTCTCCTGCGAAGAAGACTCTGTAATTGCTAGATCCCACAGGGTACGCCCAGTCAGGCGACCGCACGATCTCGAGGTATTGAGTCTTCTGCTTTGGCGCAAAATAGGTAAATGCACTACCACCGGCAAGCTCATCGGTAGGGAACGCCTGCGACACGCCGGCCTCGAAGTAGTCGAGCGAGTTTGCCTCAGGAAAGACGGTGTGCAGATTCTCGGCAGCCACGCGGATTCGGCGCTCCGGTGTCATGGAAGCCAGAATGGTCGAGTCCTGCTGGAACGTGGAAGCGGCATGATGGCGCCGCGCTGAGTGTTTTTGAACTGCTCGTTGTCTTTGCTGACTGGGAACATTGTATAGTAAATGGGCAGATCACTAATTAGCCTCCGTCCGTTCCTTGCTTTCGCTTCCTGAATTCATCTTCCCACCAGCGCTTTGAGTACTTCAAGAGGACCTTGGTGATCTCGATATATCGAACGTCGCCAATGGCCTGCTCAATTGCCGGGGAAAATGCCTTGGACTTGGCAATAGCACGTTGAGCTGTGTAGGGCACAGAGAGGACGACATAGTCGGACCTCACCTTCTGCTTGAAGCCCGTGGGGGTTTCGTATTCGAGTTCAATCTGTGGTGACGATCCGTCCTTGGGAGGGTCCAGATCAGTAACGTTTATCAAACGAGCGCTGTAGGTAATGTCCTTGGCAAGAGACAGATCGCCTCTGTCTGGAGAGATGAAAACATCAATGGTCTGACTTTTCCAAGGGCATACCTAGTTGATTATCCATTTATTTGTTACATGCACACACCTCAACATTCTCAATGAAGTCTGAACGAATAAAAATTAGATCTAGACTGGCGCAATGGATCGCTAGATGATTATTCTGGCTTGATGTACGTGCTGGTGTTACCAATGCGACAATATGTAGCGTGTTGCCATTGTATAGGGTAAGTTGATAAATGAGGCGATCAACAACAATAGTACTACCAAAATTTCATTTCATATGCCAGTTCAAACAAGTAACTCCATTCAATGACTTTTGCTTGCTAGCGAGGTTTAAAAATAAAGAAGAACTCTCCAGTCACGATTTGCAGTCCTCAAAGTTTGTAAAGTCTGTCTTATCTAGAATATCGTTTTCATGCATGCCCACATATTGAGCCCTGTAAGAGCCAAGCTTGCAAGAACATTTTGAACACCAGAGCCTGCAGCAGCTTGACGCGCCATTTCGATACCCGAGAGGGCAATAAAAGTTTTCAAGTATGCTTCCTGAATTCTCAAGACAGCGTCTCGACTTAGTCCAAATAGTTCAAGATTATCTGTCAACGATCCAAACGGAATACTGCCAATCGTTTCTCCAAGGTAGACGCGGAGTAAGGCACGCCTGTACTCTTTTTGCTCAGCAGTTGTACAGTTTTGAAGAACCCAGTAATCGCTGGTGGACAATCCACTAAAATGCTGGAATTCTGTTTTGTGCTTATAGTTGGTTGCCAAAGGGCGACATCTTAGACGCGATATCAAGCTCCAGCGCCAATCTGCAGCGCCTGGAGGGATATGGACGCTGTGTACAGACATCATAGAGGCAAACTGCTCAGGATTAGAACACCACGCCATCCGAGTTCGCTCATCGTCGAGTAGCTCCGAGTCCAACGCAGCGGATGGTGAATTGTAGTGGAAGAAGCGCAAATAAAATGCTGGACTAATGACCTGGAAGGTGATCTCCGAACAGATCTTATTGGATCCAGAAAAGTTGGTCGGCTGTGGCAAAGCTTCTCGAGTCAACACAGCATGCTTTGACCGTAAGATCCTAACCCTTGGCGAATGTTCACCGGGAGTAATATATTTCACTTGATCGACGTGTGACTGGCTTTCAACTGCCGCTTGGAGTATCTTGTGAAAATACCGCTCCAGGGTCCTAAAGGAAGGTGAGTATGGATCTGAGGTTTTGATGTTGGGAACACATACATTTCTACCGTCCTTGCAGGCTTGGCGGTTACTGTCTTGATTGGTTCTTCCCTTGTCTGCACCTTGATCTTCTTATTTTGTGTGAGATAGATCTTGGCCGCTTGTCCAAGAATTCTGCATGTGACAACTGTGGCCATAGGAACCCACCACCATTTCCACAAAAATACGAGGGAAGACCAAGTGCTTGGTGTGGGTATATCTAGTGAAGGCGAATGAGGCTTCACACTAGCTGTCATAAGCGTCTTATCCCCCTTTTTCAACGTGATCAAAATGTTGACGCGACCATCCGTGCTTGCGCAGGGATCAGAAGTATCGACGATGTAGCTGGTGTCGGACCCCAGAGGCATGAAGGGTGAGACTTGCAGGTCCTTGACAAACTTGCCTTGGAAGCAGTAAGAGCTGGCCTTTGCTGGCCTTTGCAGGGAATTCCTCACGAACCATAGTCTGCGCTCACCATATGAGGTGTCGAGCTGCAGAATTAGAGCCGTAAGTTCCTTGTCAGAGTTGTACAGATACCAGAAAGCTAGAGGATTATTGTTGTTGTTATGGTCGTTCATGCAAGGTGAAGTAAGGAGGTAGGCATAAGCCCACTCGCTTGGGTCTTCATTCTATAGATATTTATCTCAGCGGAAATTCTGTTTCTCACCTGGTAATAATTAGAGAGGTGGCGACTGACCTGTGCACGAAGACATTCCTCCAGCTTATGAGACAGGGTCAAATCTTTGCCGCCCCTGATCGCCTGATCCTGGGGCCGAATGTTCCATAGGACCTTGTAAGATGGCTGATCCATGGATATCATGGGCGAGTAAGTAGCATGGATGCCGACAGGAACACCAATGTAGAGGTAAGAATGACTGAAGTCGTCTTTGAACCCTCCCGCCATTCGTATGTGACGAAGTACAGAGGGGTACATTATTGGTCTTCCATGCAGACCTTCAAGCTCAAATTGGGGCTTTTGCGTCCCATTGTCAGCTGAAGGAGCTTGCTTGACCTGACGGCGTGCGCCGAACCCAGCCCCAGTGGGGGTACGAGAGGCCTCTCGAGATGCCTCGATTTCTCTCAGATTTTGAGAGATATCCCAATACTCAGCCTTGGTTTGGCAGAAAGCGAGGAAAAGAAAGGCGGTTAGAGTTGCTGCGCAGGTCAACAAATTGAGCCCAGCCCATCGTATCAGAACAACCTGTATTATCAACTCGGTAGACGATAGCGATATTCTCCTCTCCAGCACTTGTCTCAACAGGCAAGAAAAGGCCAAGAGAGTATAGAAGAGGCTGGGAAATGCCATTTTGTTGAGAAAGCCTGGTGTAGCACATGCAGAATTTACCAATGTGCGAATGGGGAATGCTTGAGTCTTGGGATTAATATCAGCTATGCCATTGGAGGTAAGATGACAGCGCCCAAAGCTCAACTTCGGGATGGACCGCTTTGAGCGACACCTGTTCGGTATCAAGAAGTGGCGTCAGTGGAGATGTCTCAAGGATCGTTTGGAGGTAAGGCAAGGCTAGCTCAATTAGCAAATGCCTCATACCACGATTACAATTTTGGAATAGACTGCAGGGTCTAGCAAGGGCAAAAGGCAGTCATTCCTGTTCAGATCCACAGCAGAGGGAAAAGCTGCGTTCATGCGGGAATGGAGATCCCCTGTGCACGATGAAGAGCCATGCAACCTGAATCGGCATTTCTCCCAAAAGGGCTCCGGATAACAGGGGCTCAACTACCGAGGGAGTACGATCGCATCCATGGCAGCATCCTGGCTGATAGTAAGGATCACGATCCTTCAGGCGGACCATTCGAATTGAGTCGGGCAATTGCATGTGATGATGATAGAAAGTCAAACGTACTAGCCGGGAGCGGTACCTCGATCGTGGCATGCAACGAGCTGGCAACCAGGCAGATATAGGATCCCCAGCCAATAAATTCGTGTCCAAATTACTGGGCAAACCTTGAGGTTCCTAGAACCCCTCCTCCATTCCCCTGGGCATCAATGCAATTGTGTTCCATTGCCACGATCTGGACGTCACGTTCTCAGCCCATTCAATCTCATTCACCACTCGCAGTGGCATTCACAATGCCACTTTGTATCTAGAGCTGAAAACGTTGTAGGGCCTTCTTAGTGTTGGATGATATCAGAGGCGCTAAATTGAGGCAGCATTAGTGGCCCCTCTCCCAATCCTTTGGCCGCAGGACAGCGTTACAACGGGTCAATGTTGCGAACAGTCCTCACAAGTGACCGAAAGCATACGCACACGCCATTTCCTAGCTATTTCCTAACCGGCAGAGCTAAACACACTAGCCCCTGCCTATCAAAATTCATACCGTCGACTCGTGACTGGCTAGTCGCGGTATTTTGGCACGTTCCATACTATTGTATTGTTTCATGGGCAGCCACCCCACCTGTTGGGGGCGGACAAGGTCGGCCTTCCTACTGCAGATGTCGTGGAAGTAGTAATATCACTATTCAAGTATAGGTATTACTATTCCTGTAGATCGGCGGGCTGGAGGTTTGTCCTAATGCATCTCAGCGTTGTGTCTACCAAGAATCCTTTGATCTCCATCTGTCCAATTTCGATCTTATGATAGCCCTCGCATGATTTATGAGGGCTTTGGCCGTTGCACTTCTCTTGAATTCGATATCGTGAACCTGTTCTCTTAACTTAGTCCAGACACCATGGACGAAATCAAGCCCAGATTTTACAACGACGTCGTCATTATTGGGGCCGGCTTGTCTGGCATCAATTTGGCATGCCAGCTACAGCGGAAGCTGGGGGTTTCTGACTATATCATCTATGATCGTGCCCAAGAACTGGGAGGCGCATGGGCGGCAAACAAGTGTAAGTTGTCTCAAATTGTGTTTGACTAAAATAACCAACTCAACGTGATACAGATCCAGGATGTGGAGTTGACATACCGGGAGCACTCTACTCTCTTTCCTGGTTCCCAAATCCTGCCTTTACCAAGGTTTTCCCATCACAGCCCGAGATCTTGTCATATGCCCAAAGCGTGGCGCAAAGTCATAATGTTCCCAAGCACATTGTCTTCCAAAGAGAATGGACCGGAGCCAAATGGAATGAAAAATCCTCTACCTGGCTTGTCAATTTACGTGATCTAGTGACCGGGGACGAGTATATTCACGAGGCCAAGATGCTTGTTTCTGCTGTTGGAGGCTATACAAATCCCAAGTTGCCTTCACTACCCGGCTTAGATTCTTTCCAAGGACCAGTGGTGCATACAGCACAGTGGGATAAAGATTACGACCTGCGCGGGCTCAATGTTGCTGTAATTGGCAATGGATGTGAGTCTTCTTAAACAGTCCACTTCAGTGAACTCCCAGCTGATGCTTTCCAGGTTCTGCATCTCAGGTCGTCCCCGCCGTTGTTGAAAACGTTAAGTCCTTGATACAGTTCGTCCGGGTAAGATATCCATAGAGAGAAGTAACACACCATCGCATGATGCTGACTAGATCACGGCGTTTAGAGTCCACAACATTATGTTCCAATGCCTTATAATTTTGAACTTGGATGGATTATAAGAACCCTATTCTCCTGTATTCCAGCAGTGCTGGTATTTATACGATGGACAATATTTTTCTTCCTCGAGACTGGACTCCTTCAATTCTACAACAACAAAAAAGGGCAGCAGATGCGAGAGCAGTCAGCAGTGGCGAGCTCCAATTATATCAAGAAAACTGCCCCAGGTATGTGAAAAGATGCGGTTCCTTCTCATAATATCAGTAACTAAGTATTCAATAGAGAAGTATTGGTCAATGTTGATACCTGACTATAGTCTTGGTTGCAGAGTATGTACATATCTCGGCCTTGATTCATACAATTCGCTGACTTTGAGACTAGCGCCGGATTTTGGATTGCCAATATCTTAAGGCCCTTCAAAATCCAAAGGTTCATCTGACGAGAGACTCGATTGTCTCTGTTGGAGAAAAGAGCGTGACTACTGCGTCAGGAGCTCAGCACGATGTAGACTTCCTTGTAAGAAATGATATGCCTTGCGGGTAGCGAATAGTTCTAACGCGTTGTGGTAGATCCTGGCAACCGGATTCCAATTTTCACAATGGCAAGGAGATAAAATCATTGGCCGGCATGGAGTGTCGCTGCAGCAGCACTGGCAACAAATGGGAGGTATCGAGGCCTACAAGACCATTGCTGTCAATGGATGTCCAAATTTCTTCTACATCCTGGGGCCGAACTCGGGCAGCGGCCATACTTCGGTTCTCTTTGCTTCAGAGTGGTATGTGACCATGCTGAAGACTGAATTTTACTGGCAAAACCAACTGACTGCTTCATTCACAGCACCGCAAACCTTGTGGTTAAACTTGCCCGTCCGTTGCTTCTTCGAAAAGCGGCTGCTGTTGAAGTTGCGAAGAATGCCGAGATTCGTTATTGCGATTCTGTTCAAATCGCCTTGAGGAAAACGGTCCTAACAGACAGCTGTTCTAGCGTAAGCCCGCATTTCCTACCTTCATCATATTGACATAGTAGAAACTGACCTCCCAAAAGCAAGTTACTGATAAGACAGGGTGGAATTTTTTCAACTACCCCTTCAGCTCTCTTAGCATGTGGTTCGGCACGCACTTTCCCGATATGAACCATTGGATCTACCGATAAGACCGGCGACGGCTTTTGATCAACTGAACAGCTAGATGGTAACCCCTGGAGTTTGGATAGATAGACCGGATGGTTTGGTGGGCAAGAGACGATCATTATGTCCGGGGGCATAGCTCATAGTGGGACGGGGCGATGCTATTCGGGCTTGGGAAGGCGTTAACTGACGGTGTGAATAAGCTGTTGACCTATTGAGGAGAAGAAACATGGAATTGAGATATCAAGCTTCCTGAATCTAGTTAGCCTGCACATGTAGTCCGTTAATATGTTATCAAGACTTTTCACATGTTATTGTTTTTGGGTCTACTGCGGCCCTGGCAGTGCTGTATCGAGGAGAGACTACCTAGAAGTGGCCTAATATCCTTCCACTTATTGCCAAATACATCTTACGCTAATGTTAAGCCTCGTAGTCGATGCCTCTACCAGAACTAAGAGCCGTAGCGACTCCACTCGTTAGCTCAACTTACAACTACCTCGGACAGTTCAGCTTATTACAACTGTAGAGCTCTGGTGGGCCGCTGTATTGCCTGTCAACATCATTTAGCGTAAAATTAGACAACTGCCACAAGCGTGTAGATCATGTCTTCTTCGTCCCTAGTGTAGCGAGCTTACGGGTGAAAGGATCATCAGGCCAACGCACGTGGTTGGCAAAGGGGCCCTGAGGGAATTCCTTGAAGCTCCGGAACGGGAATCCCGAAATCCAAAATTCCATATCTGTAGGTGGGATCTTGCTAACACAGAAAGCAGAATGCGTTTGACTGCCGATACGTCCGGCTGGATCTTGGTTTAGATAACTCTCATGGATCAGCATCCTACAATCGCCAGATTGATCCACATGCATCAGGGATTATGAATTAAATCAGTCTCTCCGGAATAAACGCACCGAGAGCGACCGAACATGAGGCAGACTCAACCACAGTGAATGAACTGTTCATTTTCTGACGCACCCTACTCTTTCTCTTTTGTGCTTCCTTATGTTCTACCCAGTCAGAATCTTCTCTCTAGAATATCTTTTTCTCTTTTCCTTTTTGGCTATCGCTGATACTTGTCCTTGAATTCTCTGCCTTCTCTCTCACTTTGCTTTTGATGCCACTGGAGCTGCCTTTTGAGTCCTTTTCCTAATCATGCCGGCTTAGGCTTCCAAGTTCAACAGTCTCTCCGCCTCTTGCGCCTGAGTCTGAGCTTGTAGTAGTACTCTTTCGTTCCTGCACCGTCGCAGTTGTTACGCAAGTTATTCTTTGATCTAGTTCTAGATACGAGCCCTTATCTATCTTTTTCTTCTTCACCAGTTGGATCGTTTGAAAAGGGGTATCTCACGCCAAAGCAACCCCCCCAGGAGTACTTGGTCTATGTAGCTCTTCCTTTGGGTACGGCGTCTCCTCCCCCGATAGCCTTGCCTTGTGAAGTTGTCCGAGTGCCGGACTTCTTATCTTCCGACGAAAATTCTTCTCTTGATTGAATATCTTGGCCTTGAGAGTGTTTATGTTCTCCAAGATAGTTTTAACTCAAGCAGTTTCATGCAAGGGTCTAGTCACACCAGAGAAAGAACCAAATCTATTCAATTGGAGCTGGACAGCCTATATATGTACGAAGAAATGCAACCATGTAACCATGCAACCGGCGTAAATCTTGTGTATGCTGTACTGCATATCAAAAACCCATAATGAGCTATTTTGAACAGTACCTATGTAAAAAGTAAATACCTTGTGTAATTTATCCACTTGACTTATATCCTTCAGGCGCCCATCTATGGTCTGCGCAATGTTTTTGTGCTTCAGTATAATCTGAGTATCTCGCCACTGGTGCTATTGAAAATGCATCTTCAGTTCCATGTACTTTTTAGATGTAAGAAGCCAGCGAAGTACCGGGACTAACCATCATTGCCCTATCAATTTTCCACATAACACCACGACGCACATAGGTTACCGCTAAGAACAGACAGTTGTACAGTAAGGTTACCGCCCTTTTCTCCTTCTCCCAAATTCTCCAGAAAGCGTTAAACTTGAATATATAAGATCAATGGTTCTTGCGATGAAGAACTAGAGCTTTACACTAAGAACAACAACCGCGCATTTTGCAAGCTATACCCTTGTCATGGTCTGTGGGGGCTCCAGTGCTTAGAAACTCCCCGTTGATGTGCGTGGTACTGACCTCGCATATGTTGCCGCGCTTGAACAAGGTACCGTTAGTCTGCTGCAGCTGTGTCACGTGCGTCAAGAGAGGAGCAATTTGGCAAAGGCTGTTATTGTAAACTTGTTAAGCCCTTGAAGCCCATCAATAACAGTGTGGACGGCGACAAAGACCCTAACAGAGACTGTCACGTCATAGGCGAGGGGTATGGTGACGTTCATACGCTGATTATTAAATGCCCAGGGTTCAGATGGAGTAGCATAATTCTATTTAAGAATGGATTAAAGGGTTATAATAACCCAAAATGTTCCCGGCATGCAATAACTAAGTGGAATATACTGTCTCTTTTCAATATCGACGATACCAAGTAAGTCGGGGAACTAATGGTGTAAGACTGGGATCGGAACCTGTTCTTACTAATTTCGAGGAGTGATAGGCGGCGAATTTGGAGGGATGTAACCCCCGTTATCTAAGCAGAGGTTTATTCATACCCCGATGAAGTTGTACTTACTGATGCCAAGGACTTTGACCCGAGGATAGTCTACCTCTTGCAGTCCTCATATTACAAGCCTGGTCGTCCCCTGCTGATAACCACCTAGTGTTTTCTGAGACGGAAAACATTGAATGATATCAAGTCTCTTGTAGAGAAGTCGGGCTTGAGCCATAGGTATATTTTCCCCAATCATGCTTGGTGTCGGAACATACTGGCCGGCTACCTGATTGATTGTGAGAAAAGCGATTTATATTGTGCGCGTGCGATGAATAAAGTAAGAGGGTATCCTTGAACAACAATACTGCTTCGTGTGATCGATTAGGGTTAGCTCATACAGGACTTTGAAGGAAAGATACTCGCTGTGTAAAATGGTTCTCACAAAATTGGTTTCACATAGTGTAAACAAATATCTATGGTCTTCAATATAAAGGCTAATATCCGGACTACTTATCTAAGCCTTATTTAATTTATAACCACCAGTAGTAATTGTTTGAAAGAGTCCTCCGGGATTCCACTTTTCCTAAGCCTTCCTAAGCTGCGCTGACTGTTCCTCAAAATCGCAGTGTGTAGAGCAATGGGTGAATTAGCTTGGGTCGTTTCCCCCAGAGAACCTACACGCTGTAATAAAGTTTAGCTTCATTGTTTACAAGACATGTGTTATTTTAACTCTTACCAGCAAAAGCCCATGTAGCATTGTCCATTAGCACAGTCGCTAGCGCTACCGCAGTGGGCGTTGAAGTTCTGAGTACATTGGCGTGTCTCCAATCCAGATACCTCAGTTTCACCGGTGGGTATAGCCAGAGCAAGGCTTGAAAGGGTAGCGAGGATAAGGTAAGACAGCTTCATTTCTGCGATATTGGTATAGAGGTCTTAAATATAGTGGGAGTGTGATGACTTATGCGGTAATTGATGATGGGCGATGAAGAGACAAAAACAAGCGGTTAGAGAAAATGGCGGAATTCGTACAGCATTTATAACTTCAATACAATGAATACGATACATGATTTAGTATATCAATTTGTATTTTGATGACATTCCCCCACTGTTGGTCCCCAGATCCCTGAAGTCTTACGACTCGAACCGTGCGTAGGCCCTGTGGCAACTCCTTTGTCACAGTATCCTAAAGCCGGGGATGATCTTGCCTGGATTCGGGCTGTGAAACCCTATCCATTCAATAGCGAGGGGCTAATAAGCCGCTTCACGGAAATGACTTCTCATCCACGGAGAATTATGCCTTGATTAGTAGAGAGATGCTCCAACACGGCATTGATGTATCTCTTTGACGTGCTAGAACACGGATCTTCTGTCTTTTGGTAGCATTACTTTATATTCCCCTTCTAGAAAAAGAGGTATTATCCCAAAGGATTGAGGAACCAAAATATTGTCTGCCTCACGTCTGGCCCCCTAACCTTGTCTCACACTCGCCCTACCAGAATTGTTCAGAGCATCTTTACCTCCGCTTACATAACTATCGGTTATATAAAGATAGAACATCACAATTTACCTTCCAGATATAGCAATCTCCACAGAGCAACTAGTACCGGCAGATCATTGAATGTTATGAAGCTCTGATGTCAATAACAGGAGAGATCGCCCTATAACTAAGGACTAAATGCGTGTATATGATTGAAGTTTGAGTCCGTGGCATTATAACATCAACATGCGACCGACGAGAGTTTACGAGATGATCTTTACACAGACTTAATTGTCTCACATACATTAATTGGTGTGCCTCTCCTTGGAGTGCGTTTAACCTGTCGATGGAGTGGTTGGTTATGAACTAAGATTGTGCATCAGACTTGCAAGTACCACACATGACTCATGATAGTTCCCATCATTTGGCAGGTCTGCCAAGGTAAGATCCGCATAGGGCCAAGGATTTGGCGCATATTTTGACCTTCTGGAACGAGTTTGAAGTAAACAGCCAATTGAACATTACAACACGATATAGAGCTAGGTTTCAGATGAACCTTGTCCTATTTTTCTCAGTGAGCAGTTCTGCATTGTTTGGTCTTGCCAAGCGCTGCACTTACAGTTGGGTCCGATTTAACGCGAACAGATGGATGACATTCCTGTCCGTGTGAACATCATGCATGCAAGTGGGTGACAGAAGACATTACACACCAAATGGTACTTTCATCTCCTATCTCGCTAAACTCTTCGCCTTGATAGCCTAATAACCGAGTAATAAACATACAATATACCCTTATTAAAGATGATAGTTCCCCCCCGACAATAGTTTAATATTTGGACCTTTAAGAACGATTATGTATTTTTATTTACTATTCTGATAGGATTTAGCTGTTGGACTGAGGATTGAAAACGCCTATGATTTGCGTGAGCAATGTCTTATGTGACCCGGTTGGCATGATTGTATCAACATCACTTTATCTTGAGGACATCTCTTTCCATCTGACACTCAAGGTCTAGGACTGGATTCAACAAATCAGGCAGGTGAGCCTATGCTGTTGTTGTGTCGCTGCTTACGTGTCCCGAAACAAGCGCGACAGTTTCAGAGTCACAGGAGTCCTGCTCGCAAGGGTGTCCAAGGGGATTCACTCTGAGTAGTTAAACGTATCGAGTTTGAAGTGACATGTCTTCCCATGGAGAGATGTTTCGGATGATGTACGCCAGACAAACTTCCAATTCATGACTTGACCCATCTCATCCCCGATGGGGATGGGAGGAAGTTTGCATCGAGGTTTAAACTCGGGAGCGGAGGTTGCAGGTTGTCGACGTCGTTCCAAGCAGTGGCAAACCGGGGAGTTGAGAAGTCAGGTGGCAGGTTGCTGATACCGTTGTGACCATGCCACATCGGAAAGAAACCGAGCATGCGCGATATGGGGCTGAAAGAATTTACTACGTTGTGATTGACAGAATACCGTCGCCAAGTAGAAGCATCTGCGTGGTATTGATAACCAAAGTCGAATGGATTTTGACAATTCGCTCGATGGAGAGTGGAACCTCCTTGCAGTCTACTAAAATGTCATGAACAACAAATTGGTGTTGTTGAGTAAGTAATACCGTTGTGAAACAACTATTTCGCCTAAGAAGCAGACGAAGCAATATCACCTCCAACAGGCGGGCCAGGGGGTGGCAATTCCATCTGTCCGCTCCATTTTCCGTCAGGAATCTTCCATGTCGGGTGTGTTGTGACACTGGATCTGATCCCTGTCTTTGCCACAATCACATCCTCAGCTAAAGTTCAGCGAGTCCAAGCAAACAGGTGAATCCGCTTTCGCTGCAGAGTTGTCACTAGTCAGCACCTCGGGATAATTTACAATCCGACACAGAACCAAATTTGAATTAGTGGGAGGCATCTACCGACTGCCTCCTCCAAGCTTTAATGCCTATATTAAGTGAGCATATTTCTGATGGGAATCCTGAGCATAGGCTTTAGTTCTTTAACGGTACAAGCGGAAAATACGACGACGCAGGGAGGACGACAATTATGTCAATGATTCCAGTCCTCGCTTCGTCGAGCGACCTCGGGTATTCGGACACGGAGTTTCTACATTTCTGCAGGGGTTCGTTTCGGTATAAATCACCGAAACTAGATAGCATGGTGTGAAATCTTGATGACGTGAGTAAGAAGCGTCAAGTTGTGCAAAACCCAAGCGATTGGGCGGTACCTTATATAAAGCCAGTATGCTGCTACAAGTGTAGAGGCTTGATACTTGGAGGCTTTTACTCCTCTCTCCTAACCGGCACGTTGTTTCTGATCCTAGCCGAGTGTTCAAACGTGAAACCTAAGACGCGATGTGCCCACTTTGGTCAAGACGTTGGCAAGGTAACGATTATCAAAAATTGACAGCTGGGTCCTTTTGAGTGGCACAGCTTAATTGCCTACCGCACTAATAACCAACAATGTAGCCTAATTTATTATTATGTGCACACCTCCGTTGCGAGATAAGTCCCTCGAATAACTTAAAAGAAAGCCATAGTTCAAATACACTCCCATAAATTAATTACTCAATTGAATACTCTTTCATTTAACCCCGTCCCGAGTACTCATGAGACAGTAGGGCAAACTGCATGAGTGCCAGTGAAACATGTCCCCGATATCTAGCGTCAGGTCTGTGACTATATATCAGCTTTGCGCGAGATCATTTTCATTCCCTACATCTTAACAATCTAATTGAAATTACAGCCATCATTTAGACTCGATGGAGGATTTTCTAGCATCACTCCGGCCCGGCGCGCCTACTTGGCGAGAGCGAGACCCTCAGGATCTCGGCGACGCCACCCGCGAGCTTTATAGACGAGCCATCGCTAACCCGTCGTCTCTCAGCGATGCAGAACGGAGAAAGATACTGCGCCATCCACCTCTTGAAGAAGAAGACGCAAGCTCCCGCGAGCTATGTGGCTCCACCATGTCTGAGCTCGTCACGAAGGCCATTCAGAATCACAAATCGCTGACCTACCAAGAATCAAAGTTGCTAGTGGGCCGCCCTAATGAGAACTATCCTGGAGAGATGCTGCGGGAAAAGCTTCGGATGAGCGAAAGCGATAGAGACTTGCTCTCTAAGGCCATGGAGGCCGCACTCACAGCAGACGAAGTTGCCGCTCAAACGAATGCCTTTGCCATTCAAAACCTCTGGCGTGAGCACAGCAATGCTGCACGTGACGCTTTGAGTGATTTTGATCGTGCTCTGATCAAGAGAGCCGTAAATATACCGTGGCAAGAGCACATTATAAACTCGGAGGACCCAATTCGCAAAACAGCGACATGCGGATTTGTGGTGTTTCACTCAAATGCGGTCAACTGGCCGACATTCAACGAGCGGATGCAAGCGGCAACGAAGTACGGGTTCGATCTTTTTATGTCAAAGATCAAGGACTCGATAAGGGAGGGGTTCACCTTGCACGGGGTGCAGTACGACGACGCCGAATCGCTTCAAAGCCGCTTCGCCGCCATGCGAGATGTGGATGAGATCCCTAAAGGCTTGAGGCGGGATGCATTTCTTTACGTCGACGACGAGGCGATGCAATCCCAGGAATCGAGCAGGCCGTTCGTATGGCTCTGGGAGCCCCAGGAGACAGCGAAGCCGCTGAAAGTCAACGCCATGCATATAGCACCGCTGCTAATTGCGCGACTGACGCAGCGGGACCTCTCAACAGAAAAGGCTCAGAAATGGCCTTTCAGGAGCACGCCGGACCTAGAGCAGCTGCACAAGATGGCAGGCCGATCGATGAATGGGGCTGGCGAGCGTGATGGTATCTGGCCTCCAAGCGCAGCTTCAATGTAATATACCTTACCTTAGAATCAAAGAAACAACAAATTGTCGGTATACGGCAGACCGAAACTCACGAGTTAGAAAGACTCTAGATATATGACGTTAATAACTACTGTTTTAAGTAAACTAAAGTCTATCGTACATGGCATCCCGCGAGGTAAAACTACCCATACACTAATGTAACAACATCGACACATACATAGTGGCCTGTACCTAGTCCCGCATAGTCCGTCTTGATTACCAGATTCCACGAGTACAGATCATTGTTAGCAGCCGCATTATCATAGCATCCATCGCCCGTCTTTACCACATGTATTTAGAATTTAACTTATCCACTGACTATCTCTTCCTCGGGAACGTATAGAGATCCGAGACTGTCTACGGTTCACCAGTGGCTAGGCGGCCAGAAGAAACTGGGAATGCTGTCAAGCAAGAGTTGGTGTTACCCGCATCACCTCCCAAAATAAATTATCAGCGCACAATACGCATTAAATTGACAAGGTGCGTCTAGGCTTGATGTACCCATATATAGGGTAGGTTGCAATGTCCAACAGGAGAGACGCAGTATGAGTAGTCGTTATAGAGATTGATATAATTCGATCTAAAGACCTGTGGGTTTTGCGGTCAAGATATAAAATTCCACCATCAACTCAACGTATTATCGGGAGGAAATCAACCAAGAAGTAAGAGTCATCGATACTGATACACATTATCACTGTGACGGAGCTATCACTAGGTACAACTTCATAAACAGACATATTGAGTGTTAGTTCCGGTGTATACGTTCGATGGTACAGCACTTGAACCAAGAAATCAGGTTCACCTTTGGCACGTATACTGCGTACCTCGCGGGATGCCATGTACGACATCAAAATATAACAAAGCAAACGCTGAAAGAACAAGAGGCAAGAGAACCTATCATGCATACACGCACCCTGATGCGGTGCGGACAGATGTTGCAAGTGAAACCTTTAAGATGATGGACTGACATGTTTGATTAAAGTATCTGAAGAAAAACTAGACTATACGCACCGCGAAGCCTTTCTTAAAACAAGCAATCCATTTTCTGCTCATCACAGGTTCTCTCCGTCTACCAGTAATAAAGCCCCCGCCCTGTGTGGAAGACAAGCGACGTGCCGGACAAAAACCACACTGTTACTTATCGCCAGAAGCATGTACACTCCAGGTATTGGTTAGATGCTATTCAACATAGCTAACGTTGCGAGACTTGCGGCTAAGCTTGCGTCCTAGATTGTTGGGCAATCTTGGCGAGCACGGGTCAGGCAGCGACGGAGATTATCCTCGAGATCGTTTGCCGAGACCTCCAGTAACCCCACGACGCGTAGGCTTAGGCGGGGAGGCCGCGGGGGAGGCGGGATGTTGTAACCTGACCTTCCCCGGGGTTCAAGATCTCGCTGCTCAAGGTCTACCATGGCTTCAAAGCCGATGCCACGAGAGACAACGTCGTTATTGAAAGCCCGTTCAACGTTTCCTAGTACGCCATCACGAGCACCTGGCTGTTGAGCCCCAGCTACATTGGCCGCGCCAAGCAGCAGCGTTGTGGCCGCCACGAGGCGTGTCAAGGACACCGTTCTAAGACAGTGGAAGGGGCCAACTAGAAGACGAGGAAACTAGCAGAGATATGAAGAAGAGCGAGAGGAAACAAAAGAGAAGAAAAAAAGAGAAGAAGAGCAAAGTAAAATACACGGAACAAGAGCCCAGTTTGATGTCAAGAGTTTGTTTTTTGGTTGTTCCGAGTAGTGCAGAATTTTGATTTCTGACCTGCGAAAGGCTGAGGTTCATCATTGTTGACTGTGAATACGTCGTGTGTCGTATACTTGTTGTTAATAGGAGTGAATGGCAGATTCGGTCTACCGCAAAAAGCAGGATGAGCTGTGGCATAATATGGCCGATTAAAATATCATAAATGATGGGGACATCAATGATCGCCAAATATCAGTGGCGCAACATGCAGTTCTGATTGGAAACTATGGCAGAGCACTCGGTGCATCTGACCAGAATTGCAATGTTGTATTACCTTGACCATGCAAAAGTTGTGAACTCACATAATGGATTGGGAATCATACGGATAATTGGGAAATGATGGCAAGACCTCGGCACATACTCCGGAATGAAAGATAGTAATCAAATCGTGAGGCGACTGCGTTTGCTCCAGCTAATAGAATCACCTCGAGTCACTTTACGACCCAAATTTGCTGGTTGCGACAAACACTTTGTACAAGCTAAAGGAGCCTCCAACAAGGACGTCGTTGAGCACCGCCCGTTATGTCTGCCAAGCTTGAAGAGAAGTGCCACCTCGAGACATTTGTAGCCTCCAACTGGCTCTTTGGTGGAAGATATTCTAGTACCGTCGCGCCACAGCCAAGGACAAGTTCGAGTTTGCCCTCGTCGGTATTTACCGACAGTCAGTCCGGTCAGCCTTTCACCACAATGACCTGGCCAAGCGGCTAGATAAGCATGCAGGAGCTCCATCGATTCGGACAATCTGCCCTTTACTTAGATTCAAATGAAAATTGGCCTTGTGCGTTTCTGTTTGCAAAAGCAAATATGGGAGTACAATATCGAGGAGGATCTACTGCGCTCATGGAAGGGCCAGTTCTCACGGCGGAATCCTGCACTTGGCATACAGGGGTCCGCTGACCAGCCACGAGCCTGGACGACGGAAAGTTGCTGTGAGTTTAACCAACAATACAAGGTCAGGTCTTGACATTTATGGTGTTAAGCCGAGTGGAGAAACAACATTGTACCTCGATATTAGGCAAGGCCAGACAGTCCTGAAGAGATCGAACGCCGATACTGTGTGGAAGTTTGTGGGCAGCGGAAGTAGAGTCAAAGGTGTGTATTGTGCACTAGACTGTTATTCTCGACGATACCAATATTGATGAATACCTGGAAACCTGCGACTCTGGCCTCCCTCAAGGCTGGGAGGAACGTGCAACTGAGACGGGTCGCGTCTACGATCTCGATCATAACACAAAATCTACGAGTTGACGTCTTCCTCTCAATATTCTTCCAACCTTCAGACCCAACCAACAAGGGAATTCGCCCCAGTTCGAGACAGAAAGTGACGATTCTACCCAGTCTTGATACAGTCAAGTGGCAGAGGTGGAGAAGAGCGGCGACGAGGAAACGACGGTATTTGTTCGTCAATATCATGTGTGGATGAAATGGCCAAGCGAAGAGCGTGAGCTGTCCAGCGACGGCAATTCAGAGTCGCCTTATGCTCCAAACACTATACACATTTCACCGAACAAGCAGTCGACAATGTATGGCCGCCGAGGACATTAATATCTCGTACAATATAGACTATATACCAGACAATCAGTTCATTCCTAAGCTCATTCAGACAACAATGCAACTTCCTGGGGATTCCATACGGGTCGACCGTCCCCGACTCTTCAGCATCGGTAACTACGGTAAGACTTCTACGACTGATTACTCCTTCTCCAATCCCTTTTCCACCCTTGACCTGGGCTGGAGCCACAAGGGAGATGAGTACCGCTTTTTGTTTACCAAACGCGGCCTCCAGTGTAGGAGAATCCTCGGGATCAACTGCACTGGATCTGTCCATGTTTTGCACGAGGAGAATAGCTCTGCATTCCTTGACTTGAACAAGCTATGCTACCACACACCCAGCCTTCCTGACAAATTAATTTGGGCCAGCGAGGAAATTAGATATAGCCGCCTCTACCTCATCGACATAACTCCAGACTACGTACAGAATTGGATTACAAAAGGCCGCTGGAACTTTAGGTCGATTGAGCGTATTAATGAAAATACGGAGCATATTTGGCTCTGCCTATGGGTACTAGGAGGAAGAGGACCGATATCATGTCCATCTTGTACGTGCTAGATTCGACGGTACTGAGTGCATTTCTTTAACCAAGGGCGATGGTACACATAACTGGAGCCATCCTTGGTCTGCCAATCGACCGGCAAATTTTCGTAGACACATGGTCACGAATCGAACTTCCGCCGCAAACTGTGGTGCTTTGTTTTCGGACCAGAAAGCTGCAATTCAGCCTATCTACAACTAGTCAATTGGAACTCATGAATCGTGGATGAGACCCGGAGGAGAGATTTGTCGCCCTGGAACGAGATGGGAAAACTAAGATATATGGGCTGATCATCCGACCACCAAACTTTAGTGTTGATTAAAGATACCCAGTACTAGAGACTATATATGCAGGGTCGCCAGACTTCTTCACGGCCAAAAGCTTTGGTGGCATCTCAAGCCAACGCCAATGGTCGAATGATAGATATGTGGTCGTTCAGATTGACGGCATGGGGACAAGGACAAACAGGCGGTCCAAGGCGTTTCATGACATCTGCAACAAGAACCTCAAGGACGGCGGTCTTCCGGATCGTATAATACAGATGTAAGCGGCAGCAAAAACACGGCATGGGATGGCTCTCTCTCGCGTTATTAATTGGTTCTTCAGCTGGCGGCCAAAACGCAGTGTCCGCATTGTGACATCACGGCCACTTCTACAAAGTGGCAGTCGCTGATTTGGGATGTCACGATAATCGCCTTGACAACATGGACTAAAATGAACAATGGTTAATATATCCAGTTGATCAGGCGTGCGCCGATAACTCCAATATTACGCACGCAGCCAACCTTCAGGAGGACGGGAGGTTGCTGTTGGTGGTTGGTGGCTTGGATACAGTTGTCAATCCCGCAGCCACTATGCGTCTAGCTACCGAGCTGAACCGAAATGGAAGGGAATGCGAGTTGCTCTTCAACCCTGATGGCGGTCATAACTGCGGCTCAGGATCTGGAAGGGAAAAGGTAGGAAGGGTTTTAAGAAAGCATTTGGAACCCTAGGCGGCGGCACATGCTTTTCTAGAACCTTGGCTCTTGGAAACCTGGGTGTGCTTGGTTTTTAAATATAAATTATATTAAATAAGTATCAGTCATTTTCCGCCTTATTATTCTTATTTGCCAGCCAACTGCTCAACTTCACTTTAGCTCCTTCATAGCAGTCGCACTAGATCTTTCTCACCCGAATTCCTTTATTGGGCCGCCGGGTAAATCATGCCAAATGGAGGTTTCTCGCTCTCCAAACCAACTCCTGGAATCTATCACTCAAGTCTCATGTCACAGCATTCCTGTCTGTCTTCCCACAGTGGAAACTATTCTGCCAAATTCCTAGTAGTATAAACCTCGAGTGTTATTGGGTCGACTCAGCGCCGTGGATACTGAGCGCCGTATCATCGTGGTCCCCGCAAGAGGCTCGAAATACTGCTCGGGGTTGGCCGGTTGCGTCCAGTTCGGTCGGCAGTAATTGTTACACTCATGCTGGGAAAAGAAAGAGCTGATACCCGCAGGGCCAAGATCCGTCACACCATACTCGCGTCTCCGTGATAGAATGACTGGGTCGGAAAGGACAATCTCATCTTGATATATGCCCCCCTGAAGGTCACAAAGGACGAAGAAGCCTCCGGACACGTGGTAGCTGAAGTGACTGAGTGCTTGCATCACCTCGCCCCATGATCCCGCATCATTGAACCAGCCACTGTTGCTGTTGAACTTGATATAATTGTTGATGAACGGCTCACACAAGGTCTTCGTGCCCGCCCACTCGCCGGCTTCATCATCAAATGTCCATACCGCAGGCACATTGATCTTGATGTTTTTGTTGATAATATTTAGGTCGTTGAAACGATCTACAATCTCGAGCGCCTTGTCTACCGCCTTGATATCAAGGGTGAAGTAGTCCGACTCGAAGACAACACCTGTTTTGAACCATTTGACGACACTTGCCTGGCCTCGACGCGGACCAGATGCATATCTCCCTTTGGCGACGTAGCGGAAGGATCCTTCGCTAAATGGATAGTCCAGCTCATCCCGTGGCACTATGCACCTTGAAGAATCATTGTATCGACCGCTGGCCGACTGTGTCGCTCGCGGAGTATCAGATCTGTGCCCATGGACACAAGCTGCACATCGCGAGATTCCTTCGCCTTTCGCGTATTGATTGGCGGTGTACGACGAGCGAGGCAAGTCGCGGCTGCATGAGGCGCATTCACGCATGTCGACTAAAAGTAGACTGACCAATCAAAGTATAGAAAATTGCGGAGTCAAAGTTGGAAAGCTTATGTTATTTGACTGTTGGTCCAGGTCTTAAAATGCCCAAAAGACATTCCCCAAGATCTCTTTTTTTTTTTCCCACGATCGTGAACAACACTACACCGCCATTCGACATGGGGCTCTATATTCCCAACGAGATTCTACAACGCATTATGCGTTATTTCGTCTCCAAGGAGCCTCGCAGGCTTGGGGCATCAGAAGACGCGGATTATGGATGTTTTGATCCCTCCCTACGCCCCACAGATTTGTATTCACTTTGTCTAGTCAGCCGGCGATTTTGCGATATTGCTCAGCCTCTACTTTACCATACCATCAACATTACTGATGAGACAATCGACATTGACGGCTCAGAGCAGCACTTAAAGTGGCCTGGCCATTTGCTGAGAACATTGGCTGAAAATCCGCACCTTGCGAAGCGCATACGTGTCCTCGCCCTACGAAGTTACACACCCGGCGCTGTATGGTCGACCGACTTCCCTTGGGACGTTCCACAATCTCTGCGATGCGTTCTAGAAGATGAGATCCAAAGGCCCGACCCCCATGCAGTATCCATTGCAATTCTATTTTACGCAACTATGCTTGAGAAGGTCATACTTTCCTCAAACGATCCCGATGGTATTCACATTTTTTGGGTTATATCATCATGGTTACCATATGGAAACCCACCATATGGTTCTGCCGAAATCGGCTCGAATCTCAGTCCAGAGCTTGGCCCTTTCGCCAATCACGGACATCCTCGACTGAAAGAGATCCGCTTAGATGGTTTTAGTGAAGACTGTATCCCGCTTGATCGGGTCTTCGTGGATATTATGAAAAAACCAGGACTTTCCACCCTTTGTACAAATGGTGGATGGTGGTGTCCAGATTTCTTCAACCCTCCAACGCTCCCTGCAGGCGTGCTATCTGATGATTGGCCCTCCAGTTTAAAGGTCTTAAAGCTTGAAAATTGTGTCTTAGACGGCTATGGTTTTTCATATATCCTTGAAAATTGCCCTAGGCTCAACATTCTCAAGATTCATTTGGCCAAGTCGAAGTGGATACTACAAGACGGCTTCTCTTGGACTCTTGATCTCAACCAAATCGGGCAAACTCTACGAGGCCATGGGAGCAACTTGACCTATCTATCGTTTCAGACCTTCCAATTTAAGCTATCGCTTGAACCAATTGGCAGAATTGGGTCTCTACGTGCTTTGACGAGCCTTCTCCATCTACGCTTCTCTAGAAATGACTTGATTGTTTCTCAAGAATGGGTTGAACCACAGAAGCAGAATATCTTACCTTTAGAGAGTATTCTACCCTCATCAATTGTTACAGTTAATATCTGTTACTTGGAAGATGGTATTGCACTGTCACCGCCAAGTAGTGTGGTATTTGCAGAGATAGAGAGTCTTCTGGCTAGTGGACGATTACAGTCTCTTGAACGAGTTGAAGTTCTAAGATATATATATGATTCTCCGGATGAACTAGTCTTATTCCGAACTGAGATACCTGATTGGTCCATTGATTCCGAGAGAAAGCCGTCCAAGATTCAGAATGGTGTTTTTGAGCGCATGTGTATCACCAGGGTTAGGGGTCCAAAAAGTTATTCGTTCAACAACTTTGCGGGATTAAGAAGCGAATCATGATCGGTTGTATCTACATTCTTTAGCAACATTACGGGTGTCGGGCTATTTCTTTCTTACGCCGTGGACAGTATATTGTGCAGGTCAACATCACCAAGAAACCGCCATTCTAAATGCCGCTCTATATCCCTGGCGAAACTTTGGATTAAATGATGCGTTGTCTTATCCCAGCTCTGATTCGCAAGCGCCGTCGGACAGATATTCCAGATTTTCAATAAACCGTTTGCGGCGACCGAAAGACTTAGCCTCTCTTTGTCTGGTCACCCAGAAGCTCCGGTGTTGTTGCATATAATAGTTCGTTTATAGAGCAATAACATTTAAGCAGCTATTGAGGCGGCTTTGGCGGCTCATCAAGTAGATGTAACAGCAGTATCGTCGTGGTCAACGGCAACCTTGATTATAAAAAAACCATCCATGAGGCTTGGGTCCGCCTTATATTGCTTATGTTCATTATGATTTTAGACTTTCAATGGCATCTCAATACAACTTCAAGTTACAGAGGGATTTTCAAATTAATTGCTAAATCTCTAGGCTTCGCGTAGCTTGTAGTCAAACATTTGGTTAGAGCCCACGGCATCTTTGTTTCGCAGCTTTTTGGCCGTCTCAACTCCTGTCGCAGGAACCCTATATTCCAGCCCTTTGCTAGCAGCTTTCAAGGCAAGCCCTGCAACGGGGTGAGGAAATGGTAGATAATCTGGCATGATACCCAACTGGAAAAGCACAGTACACTGGTCCCACGATATGTGTTCGTGATAGAGGCGGTCACCGCGAATATTTACCACAGCGACGAAGGGGATCTCCAACATGCGGCCGGTGGGAGGCACCCCGGGTAGTCTTGGATTTTGTCAGGAACTTGATGTATGTTGCGCCAAGGTTGAAAGGTTTTCACTTACAACCAATCCAACTGTTTGTCATGTGTGCACTTGAAGATGAACTCGTCAATAACACGATCAATACCGATTGATCGGCTGATAACCTCGGTATCAACATCATCTGGATTTTGGAAGATGAAGTGGTCTCGGTAGAAGGCAGTTAAAGCCTCGCGTCCAATGCCTCCTGTAAGCTGCCCAATCCTTAGCTAATTGACTGTTCATTAATCGGGCGAACCACACTTACTGTCGTGATATGATTTACATATGGCTCCTGTACCATCGTGGCCATGGTGCACTCCACGGAGCGGTTCTCAAACTCATAGTACGTATGTTCATCCCAAATAGCTTCGAGATCAAAGTAGGGACCCTTTGTCAAAGGTTTGAAAAAGCTCAAGTTTCTTGAGTGTGAAACGGACTCGAGAGAATACTTAAAATCCTTACTGAACGGTGTGGCGAAAAGAAAGGACTCGGCATTGGGGTAGTCATAGGCCGTGAGCTTTTCACCTCTAGGCAGAAGCTTCTCGGACTTGCCTGCCAGATGGTGCAACTGAGGGAGTGATGTCTGGGATAATGCTTGCTGTGTCTCAAGATTCCCGTAGACCACAGTTCCAACAATTTCGCCCAAGGTGTCTATCGTGGACGCAACCTTGTTCCACAGCTGGGGGTCGTAAGCTAATCACCAGGATATGTTAATTCTAGATCAAATTCTAAGCATAGGTGACCTTACCGACTAAACCAACCAAGCCCTTAGAGTCAATGGTATGGCTATTCCGGAGTCCGTCAAGGGCAATACCCAGTGCATTTGTGCCATGGTCCAACGCAGCTGCTGTAATTTCGACAGTCGTAAAGCCCTCTTCGGCCCATTTCATGACCGGGCAAGGTACTCCATTTTCTATAGCCAATGATGACTGGCCAGTGATTCCGGTTTGAGAAACTAGAACAATGAGTCCCGGGCCTTTGCCTCTCCGAGTTAGCGGGTGCACTACTGTGATGCCAGAGGCCAAAGGCTGCAGCGAGGTCTTGGGCAGAAACGGGAGGATCTCGTATTTGCTGTCAATCATGGCTGCTAGTATTGCCTAAGAAGTTGCCGAATTGAAAGATAAAAATGGACACAATCAATCTGATTTCAATGACTTTGGAACACAATTCAAAGCCCAATCAATTTGGTAGATATAAGCATTTACACTATCTCATTAGTTTTCACGAGCCCCAAAATAGTACCTCGGAAAGCCCGTCGGAATGGCTCACGCGATATTCCCAAAATCATATCATGATAAGGTTTGGCGGTTGTCCTTGTGATATGATAAACTTTGCCTTTGTTGAACCGCCCGCTTGAGTATGGGGGTATCCGGCTATCCCGCCTACCCACCTGTAGATTAATCTTCCCGGTCATCCATCCGCATCTCTCTCTGGTTTCCCCGCTCGATGTTGGAGTGGGACACCGGGAAGTCCGGAATTTAGGAACGTGGCCCGGAACAGTTCCTAAGTGCCGCGGCTACAGTGCGAATATGTCGATGGTTTTATTTTGACCCGCGTATATGCCGGGGTAGATGTAACAGTGGTGTTTCGACCAAACTTGAAATGGCCCAGCACATGTAGGGTTCATTGCATTGCGGCAAAATTAATCGGTATAGCCCACATCACAATCTACAACAACAACTTATCTGGAAGATGTCGTCTCTTCCACCGAGCGATTGCTGCGCAACAGGTTTCAAACACAAGTATGATCTTGACGCTGTTATCATCTCTATTGGGGATTGAAGTTTAGCTTAGCTAATATCTTAAAACAATGCAGTGGTTCTCCCGAAGGAAGGACGGTGAAGCTTGCCGGAAAATGGGACGCCTATATTGCCACTCCTGCTCCAGGACAGCAGCGAAATGATACAGCGCTGCTCTACTTGCCCGACGTCTTGGGCATTTGGATCAACAGCAAGCTAATGGCCGACGAGTTTGCGAGGAACGGTTACCTCTGCGTTATCCCCGACTTGTTCTATGGCGACGCCATCAAAATCAATGACTTTGAGAAAACAGATGTTAAGAAATGGATCGAACAAGGCACCGACGGATCTCAGCCCCATACACCGGATACAATCAACCCCATTGTCTCTGACGCTATCCAAAGTCTCAAGAAGGAGTACTCTGCCAAGAAAATTGGTGTGCTAGGATATTGCTTTGGGGCCAAGGTCAGTACAACGCCCACCTTGTGTTATTCGCGCCAGCGCACGATCTAGAGGCCTTAGCTGACCCAAGACTTGACGAAATAGTTTGCTGTTGGGCACTTCAATAACGATATCGATGCCTGTTTTCTAGCCCATCCAAGCTTCGTCTCGGACGAGGAGTTGGCTGCCATCAAAGGCCCGCTCTCCATAGCTGCCGCTGATACGGACCCGATCTTCCCTGATGAGCTGCGACACAAGAGCGAAAATATTCTTCGAGGAACTGGACAGCCGTGGCAGATCTGCTTGTACTCTGGGGTAGCGCACGGGTTTGCCGTACGCGGGGACCTTTCCAAAAAAGCGGAGCGATTTGCAAAGACACAGGCCTTCCAGCAGGCAGTTGTGTGGTTCAATGAGCACCTGGGACAGTAAGAGATTGATTCTGTACTGTGGGCCCCGAGGTAGATTTAGATGTTGTGTCTTTTTATCATCTTGGTCTTGCCTACATGTACTTGCCCAGTGAGCGGACGCTATCGTCGCCGATAACATTGGAGTCAATAGATTTACATCATCTGTCAGCACTATTCTTGACTTGATCACACATGTTGGACAATTCTGGACACCATTTAAATAAAGCCTTAGTCTGCAGTTCTGCTGCCTACACGAGACTCAGTTGCCTCCCTCCCCAGAGACACAACCTAGGGTAGGTAAGTATATCTACGCCAAGACGGCCTAGACCTAAAGTTCAAACTAGTCTCGCTAAAGTAAGCTGGCGGGATATTGTAAAGATCCAATTGGTCCAGGGCCCAGTGATAACGATTTCCCCGCATTACTGTGCTCCACTGGAAATGAGATGCGAAGCTACCTGCCGCCAGCTCCCTCCTTGCCTATCAGGGTCCCAGATAAACCACCTAAGGATAAAAACCCATCAGGTCCCAGTCCCTCCCCCCTTCAATCATCCAACCCGACTAGTAGATTGTAGCATGTAAGAGACTATCCTGTCCACAGACTGCCTGATCTGATAGGCCTTTGATGCCGCGGAGATCCCACACATCGATCAACACTTGAAACCAAGCCAAATCAACAAGACACTCACTCACCCGCTCTCTCCCACGAAATCCATCTCAACAGTCATCGGCGCCTCATCCCAGATTACAGACCTGGCGCGCTCTGACGCGCACTCTTGTCATGGGCGGCGCAAAGCGCTCATCGGCGTCCGAAGTGCACGAGGCGTCCAAACGACGTGCGCCCTACGCTCCCCGGGCTTGCGATGCATGTCGTCGACGAAAGGGTCGTTGCAATGGACAGAAGCCATGCGGATACTGCCTGGGTCGCGTCATGGAATGCTGCTATTCACACAACCCTGAGGAGCGGCGATCAAATACATCACAAAATAACAAAGATGCTCAAGACCAAGCTCCAAAGCCAACGGACTGGGCACCAAAGTAAGCCGTCTTGGCCAAGGAATTCCTCGAGGCGTTACTAACGTGTTCATAAATCGAACAGTGCAATCCAGTCATTGACCGACCTGGTCGCCACATTGCAGGGACAGTTGAATGCCATCGCAGCACACACCAACGTCTTCCCCGCCGGAAATGGGAGCCTTGAGAATCTAGAAGGGATGGAGCCAATTTCGCTCAAACAGGTCCAAAGCTTTCCCGTGAATGGCATGTTGCCTGTCCCAACAATCCCCCCGACAGTCTTGAAGCGTACATCGCAACGATTCTACGGCCCAACGAGCCCTGACTACAGTCTGAAAGCCGCCCAGCGACGGGTGCAACAGATGGAGGGTAGTGACACAAGCCCAAGCGGCCAAACGGTTTCCACCCTCGATGATGACCAGAGCGAAGACGACGACGAAGCCAGCCCCAGCGTGACTGGTCAGATTGCAAATGCCCATTTGATGGGACACGTACGAAGCACCGCGCCGTTACAATTTCTGGCTCTTTTCACGAAGCACGAGGCCATGCGCCTCATCAAGGTATACCACGAAGCGATTGGCGAACTTCATCCCATCTGCGACATTGATAAGCTCCTGGAGCAAATGGAGTGGCTGTACAGCTGGTCAAATGGCACACGAGAAGAAATTGATCCTACGGTAGACGAGGACGCCATTTTGATTCTCAACCTTGTCTTGTCGATTGCCTTGTGCGCCGAAGAGGCCTCAAAGTCCTTTGCGGCCGGTGCACTCTACAATAGCTATCGCGATCTTGTTGTTGCGAGGCAATCAACGCCGGCTGTCAATGTTCGGCATGTCATCATCGCCATACTCGAGGTTTGCGCCCCTTGTTCCCCTTTGCTAGGCAAGTCTATTATCCTGACATCTGCATTCATTACAGGGCTTCTTCCATTTCTACATGTGTAGCCCACGTTTGGCTTGGCGGATGATTGGACTGGCTGGCCGCATCGCCATGGAAATGGGGTTCCATAGTCTGGACGTCTGCAAAGAGTATATCCAGACTGATCGACAACGCGCTGAGGTGGCCATCATCTCTTGTACCATAGTCATATTGGACCGGCAGTGGAGCGCAGCCACGGGCTTGCGACCAAACTTCCAAACGTCAGATTTTGAGATGGCGCAGGCATCTTTGGTAAGAGCAGGACCCAGACGCTCTCCGCGCGGACTAGATGAACCCTTGGTTAAATAAACTAACGCATCTTTACAACAGGTCGATGCGCCCTATTTGAAGGCCATGATGGCATTCACACTCGTAAGCGACAATTTCAACGAGCCCATCGCCCGAGCTGCCCGAGGAAACATGTATGTGGATGACGATGGCCTCGAGGTTGCTGCATTCCAGATCAAGCAGTGGCGGAAACGAGCTTTGGAGAATCACAACTTCATCCACCCAAACGAATGGTCCGATTCCACCCCCAAGCCTCCAGCTTGGACACTAGTCCTTTATCTTCGATCTATTGCTGTACAAGGCATCCTACTCCGTTCTTTTTTCCTTGCCAACCCAGATGTAACCGACATGAAGAAGATCAAGATTGGCTTGAAGCTTGTATCAGACTCGATTGGAGTCCTCTCCATACTGGATAAAACGACGAATATATACAGGCTGCAGCATCCACATTTTCAACACTTTTTGTCGACCTCGTGCGCCCTGTTGTTCCTCATCGTAGCATATACAGAACACAAAAGAGCAACCTCGTCACCGGAATTTCCGAACGACTATGCAGAAACAGTCGCGTCAAACTTTGAGGCTGCACTCAAGCTCTCGGCCGCCTACAGAAGAACATTCCGGCAGTCGCACAAGCTTTGGAAGCGTATAATCGCTATGAAGGAACCTCTGATTCGCCTGGGTATTCTACCTCATGAAGCCCGACGTGAAGGAAAAGCTGCATTGAGCGGGCCAGTAGCTGTTACTGAGGTCCCGATAGATCAGAGGAGCCAGTGCAGCGAGATGTCTCTGAAGCCATCCGACACAGGCTCAGCGTCCATTCTAGACCCAGTCATCACAGACGAGGATTGGGTAGAATTCGACATGCAGTGTGGGCCTCAACGTAGTAACTTGAACGTGATGGGTGCATTGCCCGCTGCCATTGCCGACAGCGACTCCACCATGGATGTGCTTGATCCGCTCTTCCTGGACTGGCCCATGTACGCGGCACCTACGCAGAGGTTCTTTTCGGAGAGCACGTTCTGAGACTACGTTCCATCTCGCGTCGGTATTCATACTGCTAGCTACATCGCAACAAACACTACAATTACAACTCTTAAGAGACAAACAGAACTTGTCCATCACACAACAGCAAAACAGAACAAGTGTGTGTGATCCACGAGACGAGAAACACTGGTTTGCTAGCCAGGCTTAGCGTCATGCGGGAAAGAACAATACATCCACACAGGTAGTATAGCCGTAGTTGGTATCTACCAGAAGGAAACTCGTTTATTATCCGGATCGTAATTACAAATCACGGTCTGCGTGCATATCACCCAGACTGCGGGTCAATTAGAACTCGTCGTCATTTCGGGGGCCTCGGGAGGGTGTCGGGGATAGTTCCGAAGAGGTAGGAAGCACAGAGAAGATAGAGACAGTGTCCGTATCAATGTTGGGCAGTGCTTTCATACTGTACAGTACAGTATTGACCAGTCCCGCTATGTCCCTACCCGACCTCAACGACGCCACGGCCCTCTGTGATGAGCTAAACTCGGATAATGTACACTAAGTAATATGTTTAGAACAACTGTAAATACTCAAACCAACGCGTCGGCTGACGCTTTAGCCAGCAGCAAAATACTACACATGTAGCAAGGAGAGCGTACACCATGATAGGCAAGAGGACCTACAATCAACAGGAGCTGGACGCTTATTTTAGCCGTATTGCGCTCCCAGTCAAGCACCAAAAACAAGATGTGTCTGCGTGGACGCCTCAGGAGCAGTTGCAATACCTGGGCCTGCTCCAAAAGCATCAGCTCATGACCGTTCCGTTTGAGAATCTCGATCTTCATTATTCATGGAACCGCGTCATTCGCCTAGGTGCAGATCACCTCTTTCGGAAAATCGTGCTGAACCCGGGGCGGGGAGGCTACTGTATGGAGAATAATTCACTGTTTCACTTTGTGCTTTTGTCTCTGGGGTTCAAAGCCTACATGGTCAGCGCGCGAGTGTACGATAGCGCCAAATCATCGTACGGAGGCTTTACACACTGTCTCAACATTGTCAGAATCGGTGACTTGAGCTACGGCGTCGATGTCTGCTTTGGATCACATGTGCCTGTGCATCCGTTCAAGCTAACGGAAGGCTTGGTGCAGCAGCATCTGCCACCAGGCCAACTCAGATTACGGTACGACTCGCTGCCTGGTGGGCTCTCAGCACAAAAGCTATGGATATACGAGCAAAGGATCACCGAAGCGTCGAATTGGTCACCATTCTACTGCTTTGCCGATTTTGAAATCTTGCCTCCTGACTTAGCGGTTATGAATCTCTGGCCATCTAAGCAACCCTCCAGTTTCTTTACGTACAAAGTGATGCTTGTGCGATTCACAACAGAGGATGAGTTTTACTACCCAAGCCTTGATGAAGAGCTCAATACTCCGCCTATCCCCGGGGCCAGAGCTGGAGATATTGACGGGCAGCTGATATTGGATGGACACACTATGAAATGGCGGAAACAAGGTGCTAAGCAATGGGAGATTGTTTTGAAGAGCGAGACGGAACGAATTCAGGCCTTGAAGACGTGGTTCAACATCAGTTTATGTACAGATGAGCAAAATGCGGTTCTGGGAACAGCGGCTGCATTATCTTAATCAAGAACCTGTTGGTCGCAAGCTAGAGTTACATTGCTTCAGCCATTGGCTCTGGTTCAGCTATTGGCCGTGCTTGCCCCCTTTTAGGCTTTTCAAATCCATTCCACCTTGCAAAATCATCCGTATATATGTCAAAGCAGTCCAGCATCCTCCCCACACTTTGCATGATAATATCATCTAATGAGTTTGGCCGTGTATAAAATGCAGGAACAGGCGGGAAAATGATAGCGCCTGCACGGCGGAGAAATAACATGTTCTCGAGGTGGATATCGCTCAACGGCGTCTCCCTCACCGCCAGCATTAACTTCCGGTTCTCTTTGATCGAAACATCTGCAGCTCGGGATATGAGGTCGTCGCAATACCCTGATCGGATTGCCGCAAGAGTTTTCATGCTGCAGGGCAGCACGGCCATGCCATCATGGATGAAGGATCCGCTGGCTATGGGGGCTGACATATCCTTTGCCGTATATACGCGGGAAGCAAGGGCATGAATTTCATATTCCGTCAAGGATGTCTCATACTTTAGCGTTGCTAGTGCCCACTTGCTCATGATGAGATGAGTCTCTACACCGAGATCACGCAGCACTTTCAGCATATGGACCGCAAATAGAGCGCCCGTGGCACCGGTAATACCAATGACAATTCGTTTTGGGCGACAAGCCTTGGATTCTGACGTTCCGTATATCCGACTTTGTGATCGTGCGTTGGTCTCAACTTGCAGGGGCAATCGCACGCGTCCGGCTTGACTGGAGCTGTGAGACTGCCGCTGCGATGGCGTTTGAAATTGTTTAACTTTCCCCAAGACCGAGGGTTGTGAACTAAGGCGTCCATATAATAATCTTGGACAACGGTTGAATCGATGCATGATGCGATACTGTGGTAATGCTGACCCTACAATCAACACACAGAAAAAAGACATGAGGAAGCTTGAACTTATTGTCCTCTCCCCAGGTACCTAACCTAGTGTAAGTCAATACCCCGAACTAGCTGGGCTAAGTCGAGGTGTTCCCTTGACGGAACATTCTCCGGAACCATCGTTCCGAAAGTGTGGGACTTGCGTGAACTCTGATAGTAGCACGCTCAACGACCGACTGAGGATCACTTTGATAAAGCCATGTATCTACAGACTTGAGAAAAGGCATCTCCGCATATGGTGTATCGAAACTTTAGTCGCACCTGGATATAGCACTCTTTGAAATTCACACGGCAAAACCAATATGGCCACTTTAAAAACCACGAACGACATCACAACAAAGGCCCAACTGGACTTCCGCACGTTCATTGACCTTTTACGACAAGACAATGACTTAGTAGAAATCGATCGCGAGATCGACCCTTACCTCGAAGTCGGTGCCATCATAAGACGGGTCAGCGAGACCAATGACAAGGCGCCCTTGTTTAACAACATCAAGGGTGCACAAAAAGGGCTATGGAGGATGTTCGGGAACGCCGCAAGCCTTAGACGGGATGAAAAAGAAAAATACGGAAGGGTTGCCCGGAACCTTGGCCTTCCCAGCGACTCAAGCTGGTCCGACATCTGCGTCAGAATTCAAGCAGGCAAGCGAGCCACACCACTTGCACCCAACGTCTTATCAACCGGGCCTTGCAAGGAGAATAAAATATTTGGTGATGAAATTGACCTCAACAAATTGCCTGTGCCAATGCTTCACATGGAAGATGGTGGAAAGTATCTTCAGACATACGGCATCCATGTCTTGCGTACCCCTGACGGCTCATGGACCAACTGGTCGATTTTCCGCGGCATGGTTCACGATAAGAACCACCTTGTTGCCCAAGTGAATCCTCGCCAACACAACTATGTTGTAAGAGAGAAGTGGAGAGAGGCCGGTCATTCGGAGGTCCCATGGGCGTTGGCACTCGGCGTGCCACCGGCAGCGACAATGGCAGCCGCCATGCCCATTCCGGAGGGAGTATCCGAAGGCGAATACGTTGGATCGATTGTTGGAAAGCCCTTGGACCTCGTCAAATGCGAATTGAGCGATCTACTGGTTCCTGCCAACAGCGAAATCATCCTAGAGGGCACCACGTCGCTAACGGAAACTTCCTACGAGGGCCCATTTGGGGATTATCTGGGCTACGTCTTTGACGATGATCGTCGTCTCATGCCGCTATTCAAAATCAATGCGATTACGTATCGTAATGATGCCATTTTACCTGTTTCTGTTCCTGGTAGAATTACTGATGAGTCGGTAAGTACCTTCCTATGCTTCTCATTGTTTTTCTTTTCATCTTGTTCTTAGCAAAAGGCTAACTATGGAATCTGAAGCACACTACTGCTGCGATGGCTGCTTCTGAAGTCCTCGAATTCTGCAAGAAGCATGGGCTGCCAATCAAGGATGCCTATGCGCCACTCGAGACGCACGCGACTTGGTGTGCCCTGCAGGTTGACACAGATGAGCTACGTAAACTGCAGACCAACTCTAAAGACTTCTGCACGAAGCTTGGAGAGCTCCTGTTTCACAACAAATCTTCAATGCTCATCAATAGGTTCTTGGTTGTTGGGGATGACATCAATATTTACGAATTCAAGGATTTGATATGGGCATTCGTCACACGCTGTCGTCCTGGGAATGATGAATACTTGTTTGACGATGTGCCAGGGTTCCCTCTTACACCTTACATGTCTCACGGTACTGGCAGCAAGACACGTGGTGGCAAGTTGATATCGGATTGCCTATTCCGCATGGAGTACACAGATGCAAATAGTTTCCGACCAGTCAACTTTGATACTTCGTATCCAAGCTCTGTGAAGACGAAGATCGAGTCTATGTGGAAAGAGCTTGGGTTTTTGGGCCAAGATTAAGTGACACGCCCAACCTAGATAAGCCTCGGAAATGATAGGGAATGAACACTCGAAGAATAAATTCAGTTTGTGCACTGTAACGATCCAGCCTTCTATGAGCTACCGAGATTGCACCCTAGACGAACATAATCAGCGTAGCAAAGATAAGACATTGGCATTCCGGAACCGGTATTCTAGGAATATACAGGACGAAAAGCATGCTAACCACATCGGAGCATCCCATTTATCCCCTATCACCCTTGATATCGGGGGTACACCCGGTGTGACGATGGAAGTCGATTTCAGCAGAGTTATATAGCTTTCCCCCGTAAATCTCGGCTCCCTCAACTCAAAAGGTTCATTCAAAAATCACCCACCACACACGGAGTGCATAAACCTAAAGAGACTCTGAACATCAATCTAAACCAATCCATTTGGAAATGGCTAGCACCCTGCAGTCGAAAATTGGCAAGGCTGCTGTTCACTTCAAGATGAGAGAGGAATCAGTCGTGGCGAATGACAAAGCTTCCATTGACGATTTGCATCACGTCACATCTATTGCGAATGGACAAGGAGAACAGTGAGACAGTCCCTATCTTTATAACGCTACCTCATAATAATAAGTTGACATTTGGAACTGCTAGAGCCTTTATTGCAGATGCGACTTCTGATTCCAAATTGAGGTTGAAGATTGACTTGTATATTCTGCCAATGGTCACCATCATCTATTGTTTGTCACACTGTCACCCAGTCGGTAATTGGCATATGAACTTCTGTACTAATAATGACAATTCGACATAGTGCTCTGCTTTATTGACCGCGCAAACATTGGTGAGCCTTTCCGTTATCGTATTTCTCGAGTTGAAGTAAGCTTACACTCTGACAGGCAACGCGAGAATTGCTGGTCTGGAGGCAGACCTCAATATGAAAGGGTACGATTTTAACATTTGTCTGTCAGTTTTCTACATCTCGTACATCATCTTTGAGATTCCAGGCAACATTCTCTGTAAGATTATGGGCCCAGGCTGGTTCATCCCAGCTTGTTGCTTGGGCTTTGGGTTATGCACGATTTGCACCGCTTTTGTTCAAAGCTTTGCCGCTTTATGTGGCCTCCGCTTTGTACTAGGCATTTTTGAGGCTGCAATGTTGCCAGCCACAGTCTATTACTTGTCGAGGTGGTACAAGCGGGACGAGCTTACCTTCCGACTCTCTTTTTTCATCATCTCCGCCTCGTTATCTGGCGCTTTCGGTGGTCTTCTCGCTTCAGCAATATTATCCATTGGTCGGATGGGCAGCATCACCTCGTGGAAGATGATATTCGCTATAGAAGGTTCGTCATTTTCCCTTTGAGTATCGATGTCATGCCTGTATAGTATTCTAACATTCTTTCCCTCGCAAGGAATTGTCACAGTTGGATTCGCTTTACTCGGCTTTGCTGTCATGACGGATCGAGCAGAGACTGCTATATGGCTCTCGAACGCGGAAAAGGAGCAAATCGCGGCTCGCATCAAGGCCGAGCGCATTGGCACAACCGAGGTTCTGGACAAGTTCGACAGAAAGAAGTTCAAACGCGGAATCTTTAACCCAGTCGTGCTCGCCACCTCCCTGACGCTTTGCTTTAACAACATCACGGTCCATGGCTTGTCATTTTTCTTGCCGACCATTGTGAAAACAATTTTTCCAGACAGGACTGTTAGAGATCAGCAACTGTTAACGGTCCCTCCCTATGCGTTGGGAACAATTACTTGTCTCATAATCTGCTATCTGAGCTGGAAAATGGACAGGCGAACTATCTTCCTCATCCTTTGCCCGCCTTTTTCCATCATTGGCTACAGCATGTTCCTGGCTTCGACAACCGCTCATGTCAGATATGGAGCTACATTCCTTCCTGTTGTGGGCATATTTGCTGTCGGGGCACTCACCAATTCCCATGTCTCGGCAAACGTGGTTTCTGACACTGCCAGGTCGTCCGCTGTGGCTACCAACGCTATGTTTGGTAACATAGGTGGATTGGTCTCGACTTGGGCCTTTTTGCCGTTTGATGGGCCCCTTTATCCAATTGGAAATGCTTTGAATCTGGGTGTTCAGAGTGGCATTTTCGCCGTTGCCCTGGGCATGTACTTCTGGATCAATCGCAACAACAAAGCCAGAGCTCAGAGGGACGCCGAGGTCGAACTGGCCGGTAAAACATTGCTGGAAATACAGGATCTTGACTGGAAACACCCCGGTTTCCGATGGCACAACTGAAATGTAGAAACTGTGGACGCGTAGTAATTAGATGAAGGGTGGCTCTCCGAAGTACCTATGATAAATTTATTTGTCAAGTTGGATTGCTACCCACAACGGGCTTCACATTGGCTACTTAGTATAGACTGATCTCTCCAAGTTGCTAGAGTGAATGCTAGCTTGCCTCGTCGCGAAGATATACAATATTGGTAACGTGCCTATTTACTGAATTGTGATGAGTACGTGCTATGTCCTGTACTAGATAAACTGTCTCTTAACGTATCTTTAGTTTAACTATGACTACCTAAGTGCAAGTCATTCTACCTATCCCATTATTCATCTTTCGGGCATAACTGTCTAACATGTGGCGGATATTTACATTACCATATCCCGATCTCATTCGAGTAGGAAAGAATAGCAATCACGTTTCGTAGTCAAGTCAAGACCTCCATACGTTGAGTTGTATCTTTTAGTGTAGTATGGCATTCTCAGGGTCCAGTCAAGTGGGTGACAGGAGAAATGAGACACCTAAGGGAAGAGGCGGTTATTAATCGACTACTTTTTATAAGAAATAGAGAAGTCGAGTAGTTTAAAAATAGAAGAAAGGGATAAATAAATACAGTATTATATATTATCAGTACTCAATAATCCGATTATACCCGTCGCAGACTTGAGAATAAGCAGCTTGTTGTTTGAGTGTCTGAATTTCAATGTCACCAACTTGCCAGTATGCTCCTCCACGTGTAAAGTGGCACTGCATTTTCACTGGCTCACACAAGGGTTTGAAGCTAAGCCGGGGAACTGTCGGAAGCGTTACCCACATTATACGGAGGCCGGTCGACATCCGCAGTTCCTACGATTTTAAGCCAGATAGTTCCATTCCGGTTCCGAATGCGGCTAATGACAAGATACGGAAGGAACTTATCTTCTAGTCACAAGCGGCTATCCGCAGTTGAAGTCCCGAAGAGCATCAAATTAAACAACAGCCTTATCTGAATGTCTCCTGATTTAGATGGCAAGAAGGGGTTAGCAAAAAGTTAATTAAATACCTACTCAAAATCCTCACGACATCATCACTTCAGTATTAGACACATAATCATCAAATTTGTTCGAGCGCTTGGAAGATGCAAGAAGATTTGGATCTCGTCGTAGTTGGTGCAGGTAGGTCCCACCGATCTTCTTCTTTTTGTTGCCTGCTGTTGCTTGCAAGTGCTAATGCAGATTTAGGCTGGTTCGGTCTGGCCGCCGCCAAGACTTACATTGAACTCCATCCCAATGAGAAGATAGTGGTCATTGAAGGAGACAACAGCATTGGGGGAACCTGGTCTGAGGGACGTCTCTATCCTGGGCTAAAATCGAATAACCTATGCGGATCATATGAATATCCGGATTTCCCAATGGAAGAGAGTGTCTACGGTGTCAGAGCCGGCCAAGATCATATTCCCGCGGCGACTCTGCATCGTTACTTGACAGACTTCTCCAAGAAATTTGGAGTGTACGAGCGGACACGTCTCAACACCAAAGTTAATACTATACAACCAGAGGGTAGCGGCTGGCAACTAAGCATAACCTCCAAAGAAGGCCAATACCAACTGCAAACGAAGAAGTTGATTCTCGCCACTGGTTTGACCTCGACGCCAAATATTCCCACCTACCCAGGCCAGGAACACTTCACGCCACCTTTTTTCCATGCTAAAGACTTCTGTACCAATGGCGAGTTAGTGGACACGGCTCAGAATGCCGTAGTTGTCGGCGGTGGAAAGTCTGCGTATGACTGCGCCTATGCATTTGCAGACAAAGGCGCACAGGTAGACTTGGTTGTTCGACCAACAGGCCAAGGGCCAGTATGGCTTTGCCCTCCCTTTGTAACTCCATTTAAACGAATGATGGAGGAGTTGCTTCACACGAGAGCCCTCACATGGTTTAGCCCTTGCCCTTGGGGAGGCGAAGATGGTTATTCTGTCGCACGAGACTTCCTTCACGGCACGGCCTTGGGCAGGTTGTTGGTTGACAACTACTGGAATCAACTGACCAATGAGGTCATTGAAACACATGGGTTCGATGATCACCCAGAAACCTTCAAGTTGAAACCTTGGTACTCGGCCATGTGGACAGGCAGTGGCGTGGGGATTCACAACTTCTCCAGCAATTTCTATGAGATGGTGCGAAACGGGAAAATCAGGGTTCACCTCGCTGAGATCACAAAGCTCGATGGGGACTCGGTGACTCTGAGCACTGGACAAACCGTTCGTACCGATGTGGTCGTCTGTGCCACCGGCTGGAAGAAGGAGTCGACTATCAAATTTGAAAACTTGGGTAAAGGCGGCATGGGCGTAGCCCGCAGCCACGAAGAGGTTGAACGCTTGAGTAGCGACGCCGACAAGGAGATTTTGACCCGATTTCCCCGCCTCAAGTTTCAGCCAGTTCTCAGGTATGAGCAGACGAAGGAGACCCCACTGCGAAACTACCGCTTCATTGTCCCAGCGTCCCTAGTCTTTCAGCGCAACATAGCATATGCTGGCATGGTGTCAACCGTCAGCACTGCTGCATTTGCCAACGCTCAAGCTCTTTGGATCTCAGCATTCTTCGATGGGAAACTCAAGAGGACTCCAAGAGATGATGACGAGGTCACAAAAGAGGTTATGCTCCACACCCAATTTGGTAAATGGAGGTATCCTTGCGGTTATGGGGCCAACCTCCCCGATTTTGCTTTTGATGCCCTCCCGTATATTGATCTACTCCTCAACGACATTGGCGTGAAGAACCATCGTAAGGCTACACAAATTGCCGAATTTACTGAGGCGTACAAGCCAAAAGACTACAAAGGTTTAACTGAAGAATTTCTTGAGTTGCATGGAGGGAAGTTGCCGGCGGCTACGAATGGCTTCTAGAGTTAGATGAATTCAAGTGAAAATTTGCTCTGCGAATAACAGGTCACTTCTTTCTTACAGACTAGCAACGGTCCAGATTAAAAGAACTGTAGTTGTCAACTTGAGTCCTTTTTAAAGGGGGGTTAAGAAAGGCGTTTTGGCAGAAGCGCGCACACCTAGGTTATTCGCCCGATTTCCATTGGGTAGTAATGCTTCCGAAGACTGTCGTGTTGAAATTTCATGCTTTTCAAATTATGCTGATGTAACAAACTTCAAGTAAATACGATGACTCTGTAGCACCTAGGATCAATGTCTATGTGTTCGACCGGGTGATTTATCTTCCATGATCTAGCTAAATGGTACAGCTCGGCAACGGCCCACCTTCATACATAGGAGAAAGAGAACAAAACTTTTTTCTCGCACATAGTGTCTCATATTTAATACGCAGGGGAAGGAGAATAAACAGCCCACGTTGATATATATCAGGCTGGGGTATAAGTGACAGAACAAAGGCCACGACTTTGTAGCTATTCATATAAACAAAATTAAGAGGAAAATTTCAATCGATACTAAATAACTTAACTCTCTGCTTATTATCAGTCCTGCCCATTACATTTTAGCCTTAATAGCAGAGTTATTAACCTTCTGGTGAGTAGCAATGATCTTCTTGTAGTTGGGGAAAAGCTCTTGAGGGTCCCATCTTTGTCGAATTTTCAAGAACTTCTCCAATGCAATATCTGACATGACTTTCCCCTATATGGCGTGTAGGTTAGTGGCCGCTTCAATAATTGGCGGGGATGTGTGCAACATACGTTGGCATCATCGCAGGTGACATCATAATCAGCCACGTAAATACCACAGGCGGCTGGAAGAGCCTGCTTGTACCGGTCCCTCATATGTTGGTAAATATCAGGCTCCAAACCTGGGTCCTTCCACTGCGTAATGGTGGAAATATAGTACTGCTGCGGCATGCTGAGGAGTGCGTCACCGTCCTCGTCTGGTTTGATGTCGCAGATGCACATGAATGCTGACGACAGGCGCGTGGGGAGCTCGCAAAGGGCAGGCTTAACAGCCTTGATAAGCTAAGAATCCATTGTCAGACCTACCATCGACCCATCAACATGGATGTCTTCAACATACCTGTGGTAGTGGCAACGAGGGCTCGTTGAGCATGCTGAGGATAGACCACCGCTGGCCGGCACTTCCAATGAGTCCCCTCTTTTTCTTGTAAATATGCTCAAAGGACGATGCCTGAAGTGGTTTCACTTCAACCAATAGGTCCTTGATTGAAGGAGGAATATCGTCATAGGCACTGAGTAAAATGGAGGCTTGTGCCTTGGTGTCAGCGTAGGCCTGCAAACTCAAGCCCATGTGAAGCTTTGCATTGGCCGGGATCTCATCGGTGTCCAAAGTGGGATCATATTTCTCCGGATAGAATATTGTCATGTTGAGGTCGGTGCCCCATTGCGGTGTTTTGTTTCCGCTCTCAAACGCCCAAGTCATCAGTTCCTCGTACTTGTCACCGAGTTCGAACGTTAAAGATCGGTCCCAAAGATTGGATGCTCGCATCGTTCGGGCCCAAAACTTCGTGACTACTCCGAAGAATGCAAGCCCGCTTCCTCTCGCCGCCCAGAACAGGTCGCGATTCTCGGTTCGACTAGCAGTAACAACTCGACCATCAGGAACAACTATCTCCATTTTGGTGATCCAAGTCTGGGAAGTTGCGCCCCATCCTCGGACAAACCAGCCTTGTCCGCCAGCGAGCAGAAACCCACCCGCTGCAACGGTTGGTGCATGGCCGTGCGGGAAGAATCTCTTGACGGAAGCTAGCTTTGCAGAGATTTCTTCGACCCTGACAGCTGGGCCAAAACGAATCTCTTGTGTAGTTCGGTCGTATATAGCTTCCCTGTTGAGATTGGTTGTGTCTATCATGATACCATCATCAACAATGGCACCGAGAGAGAAAATATGACCGGACGACCGGACTCCGATACTAACTCCAAGCTCAGAAGCTCTCTTGATCGCCTTGGAAACATCTTCAGTAGTTTCAACTACATGAATCTCATGCGGGTAGCGCTCGGGGGTGGCTGCGCTTGGGTTGTTTGACCGACAACGCTCATAGTCGTCAGTGCCTCGTTGGAGAATCTTGGCAGAGTATTTCCCTTTCGTGGTGTACATGATTGTTTCTAGGTCCAAAGCAATGCTGCCTTTGAAAGCTTCGTAGTAACAATAAAATCGAAATCAACAAAGCTAACTAGCTTTGTGAATATAATTTCAACCTTGCGTCGTGAGATTGCTACTGTTACCAGTCATCAACAGTACTGAGACTATCGGGGAGTACGGCTCAACCAGATCCACTTCGCCATTTAGACTGCTTGCCCTTGAAAACCGTCATTCCGGAATTCCGGAATTCCGTACAGAGTTGGTGGAACACTGGCTTTCCGGAAGCTAGGACCGGAATGATAATTTGCAAGGATTTGGTTTCGGGATAACGAAGTTGTATGGCGTTGTGCGGTTCTAGGGGTCCGGAACATGCCCATAGTCGGTTGCTTAAAGCGGTGTCATTAAGTGAGAATAGGAGCAGTTACAGTTTCAGAGGCAAGGCGACGGACAAAAGCTCAATCACATCAACCATGTCTACAAAGTGAGTGAGCCTGTGTTTCAAAAGATATTGCCAGCTGACATTGGACAGTATGGAAAAATACTCAGCTTCAAGTGCATTCTTCGAGTCCCTCGCAGAGGTTGGTTCCTCGGGGTGTCCACCCAGGCCCCTTACGGTTACACGTGACTAACAGCAAATAGGCGGGGATAAACTATGTCTTTGTCAATCTTGGATCTGACCATCCTGCCATCATGGAGGCATTGGCAAAGGATAGCAAAGGAACAAAATTTCCCAAAGTTATAACATGTCCTCACGAGGCAAGAACTCTACCACATTTCATGCAAAATTCGGAATACTAACTCGTAATACAGTATGTTGCCATGTCAATGGCCGACGGTTTTGCTCGTTTGACAGGTAAACCTCAGTGCGTCTTGGTGCACGTCGATGTGGGCACGCAAATGCTCGGGTGCGCTATGCATAATGCATCCATAGCCCGCTGCCCAGTTCTTGTATTCGCTGGCCTGTCTCCTTTCACCATTGAAGGAGAAATGCGCGGTTCTCGCACAGAATATATACATTGGCTCCAAGATGTGCCCGATCAGAAGCAGATCGTGGCGCAGTATTGCAGGTACACTGGAGAATTTAAGACCGGAAAGAACATCAAGCAAATAGTCAATCGGGCGCTCCAACTTGCCAACAGTGGTGCCAAAGGCCCTGCATACCTGGTCGGGGCCCGCGAAGTGATGGAAGAAGAAATCACGCCCTACTATCTTGATCAATCGCTCTGGGAACCTGTGGCTCCGATAGGTCTTCCTCAAGAAGGTCCAGAAACTATCGTGTCTACGCTTTCTAAAGCTGAGAAGCCGCTTATAATAGTCGGGTACTCGGGCCGCAACCATGCTACAGTGCCACAGCTAGTGAAGCTTGTTGAAGCAATTCCTGGAGTTAGAGTTCTAGATGCTCTAGGTAGCGATGTGTGTTTCCCTTTCTCCCACCGAGCATATTTGGGAGTGCGGATTGGAAAGCATGAGGCGATCCGCGATGCAGATGCTATTGTGATATTGGATTGCGATGTCCCATGGATTCCTACACAATGTCAAACAAGACCAGACTGCAGGATTATCCAGATCGACATCGACCCCTTAAAGCAGAACATTCCAGTCCACTATGTGCCTGCTTTCCGCAGGTATCAGGCAGACTCTGAGACAGCTCTCCGGCAGATCAACGACTATATCACTTCTCATCCAGATCACTCTCGTCTTTCCCAGCTTGAGCCATGGGTGTCCCGTTGGGAAGCTCTAGGACAGGACTGTCGACAGCGATTAGAGCAAGTAACGAAGCTTGCGGCTCCTCCTTCAGGAGGAAACCATTTGCCACCATCCACTTCCTATCTCTGTTCACAGCTCAGACAGTCATGCCCTGCAGACACTATTTGGTGCATAGAAGCTGTTACAAACGCCATGTATGTCTATGACCAGCTACAGGTCGATAAGCCTGGTCATATCGTCAACGGCGGAGGCGGCGGTCTAGGCTGGTCTGGAGGCGGCACCATTGGTGTTAAGCTTGCCACAGATTGGCTTTCTGGAGGGGCGGGCAAGGGTAAGTTTGTTTGCGAGATTGTCGGAGACGGTACCTACATGTTCGGAGTTCCCTCGACGGTTTACTGGATTGCCCGGAGGTACTCGCTTCCGACATTAACAGTTGTTTTAAGCAATAAAGGTATGAGTGTCCTCATTTGACCGCAACGTAGTGCATCAGCTGACCAAATTACGCAGGATGGAATGCTCCCAGAAACTCGATGGAACTGGTGCACCCTAATGGATATGGATCCAAAATCTCGAATGAGGAGCTGAATATTTCCTTCTCGCCCACACCGGACTTTTCAGGTATTGCCAAAGCAGCAGCCGGGGGAAATGCTTGGGCAGGTGTGGCGGAGAGCGCGGATGATATCGAGCGACTACTCCCGGAAGCTATTGCCGCAGTGAAGAGTGGGATATCTGCTATCATGGAGGTACGCCTTGCGGGCTCGTGGGATGCGAGTAAATTGTAGATGTGCAACTTGAGAAGAAAAACTCTGAATTGTTCCATCCTAGGGGGACTCTACTATTTTATTCCTCGGCATTTATCTATCCACAGATGTTTGTTAACATTTCTTACGGGAAAGAATTGGAGTGTAAAGTTAAAGACAACAGTAGAATATGCCAGACCCAACATCTCAACACAATGAACAGTTTACCTTTCTTAAGCCTTCCTAGGGTGGGACTAAATGCACGGCCATGATATGACTTCCTGAATGGGAGCTGAAGGGTGGGGGGTGAGGAGGACAGACAAGCAGCGGGCAATTGAAACAATTATATAGAACTACCCATGTACCGATTTTGGATCTACGGAGACTAGACTACTCCCGGAAGCTATTGCCGCGGTGAAGAGCGGAATATCTGTCGTTTCCTCTTTGCACAAGGTTGCATTTAATAGACGAGCTTAACATTTCTTGCTGACCTTGGGGGCCCTTGTCATTACACGTACATGTAGTCGGGTATCAAACCGAAACATAAAGTGATAGCGCTGATTAGACCGTTAATATGAATACGGTGATAAATTTAACAGCATGGGGCCTTTTTGGCATCTCGGAGTGTTAGATTCCTGAAACATGCAGGGAATCCCTGACCTCAGTATGCCACGTTGGGTCTCCGACAAAAGGGCTTGAGACAAAAGCCACTAATGAGAATCAAATAAGCAAGAGATAGACCCTAAGAAAGAAGGTAGTTAATCATTGAGTAGCTACTCCACTCTTTAGCTGGGTCTTCTGCTGTAGAAAAGCATGAAAACCATGCGGAAGTTGAACCCGATCTTGTTAGAGAAATCCCGGCTAAGAATGCGATAGGGGGAAAATAGGCCCTGTACGAGTCGTTTCATGTAACGTCACGGTAGCTCAAATCGGCGTTCGTGAACCTTCGTTTCCGTTCCTCTTACAGCAAAGGGGTTCCACAACGGAAAAGCTGAGGAAAAAGACCAAATACAAATACATCGCCGCGAATGCTTCCCTTTCAAAACATATTATGACATCGTTTCTTAACTTAGTAAGCATTCGCCTCTTTGGCTCCTTGAAAATGAAGCTCGCCGGCTTGTTTTTCTGCGCTTCAATAGCAGCAGCATTCCCTTTGACCTTACAGAACTCCCTAGATGTCAAGTTGGAGCGACAGGGGAACTCCCAGATTAAAGCTACCGTGACAAATTTTGCTGGCTCGGGCCTCAACATCCTGAAGCACGGATCGATTTTTGATAACAAGCCAGTTGAGAAGGCTAGAGTCTATTCTACAAGCAAGCTATCTATGTCCATAATACTAGTCTATTGCATCTAACTGTTTGAGTAGATGATCGTATATCATTCCAAGGCCTCAGGGTGTACCCCAACCTTAACAACCTCAACCAAGATTCATTCGTTGCAATTGGTGCTGGAGAGTCTATCGAAGAGATTTTCGACGTGGCCGAGTTCCATAATCTCGCAAGTGGCGGCAGCTTTACAATTTGGACGGACGGAGTCTTTCAGTATGCTCCGGAGGGGACTACCAATATTACGGGTAGCATCCCCTTCAAGTCAAACTCGTTGAAGGCGGAAATCGATGGCGCTGAGGCTTCTAGCATCTTCAAAGCCTCCGTGGCTCGGAGAGCCAAAGTTGCCAGTAGCTGCTCCTCCAAGACTAATCTCCCTTCTGCTCTCTCGAGCTGCAAGTCAATTGCTCAAAAGGCCTCCACCGCTGCGAAGAGCGGCGGCAGCAAGTTGACCGAGTATTTCAAATCGGACAGCTCCAGCGTACGCAGTACTGTTGCGAATGTCTTCGATAAGGTCGCCTCGGAGTGTGGCTCGACTACCGGCGGTAATATTATTGTGGAGTGCAACGACGTTTCCAACTTTTGCGAGGGCAACATTGCCTACGCAGACACCGTCATCTCCACAGTCGTTTTCTGCCCCTACTGGTACACTATGGCAACAAGTGGCGGGTGCCACGTTGATACCCAGGCTGGAATCGTTATTCACGAGTTTACTCACATCCCCTCGGTGAAAGGCACCGACGACTATGGTGCTTATGGGTATGAAGCTGTCCGCGCTTTGACTGCGGCGCAGAACCTCAACCATGCTGACACATACCACATGTATTCTAACGCTATTAACGTCGGATGCTAGACTGATGGGGTGGCTAGAAGTCTGAATGAGCTTCAGTTAGCATGCATTGTATTATCAATTGTTAAATGCCGACAAGAATCATAATCTAGTTGTTGAATCTGGGTACTGTATTTATTTGCCTTGATAATCGATTTGTCTCGAGCTTTCTGAGCTCATGCTCTCGGTAAAAGCTGAAATCTAATAATTATGCCGAATACAGTTTCGTGTTATAATTTGTCATTACGCATTAGCATGGTTTACCGGCAAGGTCGCAGGGCGTGGTGATTTACTCTGTTATTCTCGATGAAGAGGCCGTAGCTCGTGCCCAACTTCAGACAATGCGTCTTGAAGGCGACGGGTGAATCGTTCTTAGGAGGGTAGTAAGGACCGATCTGGGAATAGTGTATGCAATCACCATGTTACAAAGCGTAACAGTCCAAACAGGTCGTTGAAACCAGGTAAAGTTGTTCGCTCCCTGCAATGGAAACCTGCACGTGGAGTTATACCAGTTGCGTCTTTATCGGTTTGAGATTTACTCCAGATCTAGCTTTCTTAGTTATTGATTTTAATAAGTCTACTCGCAGTTTAAGAGCAAGATTTATTTATATAGTATAAATTTACTTTGCTAAAAGATAGTAGTTTTAGCTGGAATTATATTAAACCAGCCTCTAACTAAATAATAGGAGCTGTTGTTCGAAACAACTATCCTACTCTTGCGTCTACAGTCCGGCACATTTTGGGCCAAAAGGTAAGTGGAAGAAAATGCTCTGAATGCTATATTCATCGCAATGCTTACTGAGACTTTTCAGAACGACATGACCATCCAAAATCGCAACACTATCGTGCGGCGTGCGGTTCCAGTGTGCTACGTCGGGCGGACGCAATGTACAAAACAACGTGCATGAACTGGGCGAAGAGTCATAACCTTCAGTGTATCAAACAAACCAATTGCCTGCTACCAATCTTTAAATGAGGAATTGAGGTCGCATTTTGTCTTTAAGTTGAACCAAAGGTTTCTATCTGCACGGAGGCCTCCATGACTCATGGGGGTGGTTACAGACGGCTCAGATCACTCTCATCCCAAAATGATGAGCGTTTTGTCGGGTGAGCCCGTGTCCATTTCTGTTGAAATAGGCAATGAATAGACGGCTGTGGAGAGCTGAGAATGGCGCGCTAAATGGGCCAAGACATTCCAGCCGCCCACTACCAGTGGACGTCTGACGGCACGCTGCATGAAGATGATTGGTCTATCAGTCACCAAACCGCATGAGTACTAGTTTAGGGAGACGATTGCCTCATGTTGCCACCCGCAATCCATGTATGCTGTGATACCAGCGCTATCTTTCAGGGGTTGTAAGCCTATCGTGTCTATATAGTGAGTTTGACTTACAAGCCGAAGCTGCATCAGCCGCTTTCAGCTGACAGTTTGCTTGCATGCTTAACTAGCTAAATTAGGAGCTATTTCGAACATCCTTCACGTAGATCCTTGTCGACAACTAAACAACAGAACGTTCGGTTATGTTTTATCTATTTTGTTGTGGCTAGTCAGTCCTGGCTAAGACTGGAGTATCCATATCTCACATGAGCTCTTTACCGGTTTATATAAACCGGCCTGGTCCCAATGGCTCTCCTCGCGACATTTTGTTTCCGGAAGCATCTCTCAAGCCTATAAATCATCATCAGCTATTGCTATCTCTAAGCTCCTACGATCAAGCCCTTGTTATATCTCTGGACAGCGTATGTAAGCCCCCCCTTTCACCCTTAAAGTGATCCTAGGCTGGACGCTCTAGCCCCGATTCCATGCCCCCTACCCGTCCCCCATCATGGCTGCATTATGTAAACCCCCCCGCGGACCCCCAAACGAAAAGGCCGTCGATGTTACGAAACAATCATACTGAATTCAAATAGTGAAAAACAATACCACCATGAATGAGCAACTCGATGTCTGGCTCGACGACAAGAGCCATTCTGTCGAAGGCCACATTTTCAACTGCACTCTTACATTCCGTAACAAGGTTATATGGGGGCCCATTCATTGCCACGATAACACGGTTGAGCTGAGAAACGCCATTCACCAGGCGGATAAGCGCTTCGACATGTCCTTTACCAAGAAGGATCACACTGTTGAAGGTCACATAAAGTATATCAGCGTTAAGTCGAACGGCCAAGTTCTTCTAGACAAACTCTCTACTCACGATAATATGGCCGGCTTGGTTGCCGCTATCAACGCCGCTCTAGGTACTGCTAGCGAGGACTCGTAGGGTACCTTCGACTACTCGTAGGGTGCCTTCGACTACATTTCGGGTAGAGGGTTTAATGATATGGAATCGAAGGAAATGTGAAAATGTAGCTACTCGAACTCTCCGCAGCCGGTATAGCATTGTTAAGTGGTCATTGGAATTAACACCCCAGTCTTCGCTGCTTGTGATGTTCGTGTCGCTAGTAGCACAATCATGCGTTGTATCTCGCGCAACACGCCTGGGATGTTATATCCCCTCAAGTGTGCTTGACCTCCCGTCCGCCGATCCCACTCGTTCAGCCATCTAAACTTTCTATTTTTTCAGTATTTCCAACGCCGCTCTATTCCGCCCATGGTCAAGGTCCCAGCATAAGTCGTTAGTACAAAGCACGACGGACCACACGAATTACTGTAACAAGGATATATTGTAAATTCCCTAACCACATACAGTTGCCCAAATCTTGGCCGGCCTCGTGTGAGGGGTCGGGCGCCTATTCCATCATACGATCGGCCCAATCGACCTTACGGGAACCAGGCTCGAGAGAGACGGGAAGTGATCATCTGTTTGCATGCAAGGTTGGAAGAAAGAGGTAAGACCAACTCATAAAAAGTTGGTTACGGAAGGCGGGGCCCCTGTATCTACCAAGTTAGTCTAGACTATTGGCGATAAGTGTTGCAATCGCTTAAAAGGTTTACTCGGAGGAGCTGAAAGGTGTTATGAGCCTGAGTAAGAGGCTCCTCTACCAGTAGCAGACTGCCACGCCTACACGTGGGTGCCAACGCAAGAGGCTAAGGTATCATGATTCGGTCTCGTGCTGGCTACTGAAGGGGGCTGGTTCGAGATCCTCCATGTAAGGCGCGGTAGGCTCTAGGACCGATTATTATAAGAAAAAGGCCCCAAAAGGCCGGAGGTTCTAAAACTGGACATTCTCCCGTATGCTTCCAAAAGGCTAGAGAAGATCACTAGCTAAATCAAAGCATCGCACTGATCTTTCATCCTAAGCTCCGAGTATTCTAGTTACAGGCCCCTGCAAAGATCCTGCTCTAAGAAACGACTTAAAAATATCCTATTTTCTACTATAGTTAATCAGTATCTATCTGACCTACTTCGGTAGCTAGGTTAGCACTTTATATACAATCTTATATAGCCGACAACTCACTAATTAAACGGATATCCAGGCGAGATCCCAGTCATGGTTAAACTCACCCTAGATTTCGCCGCCGACAGCGAGAATGACGCCTACGACAACCTTATCGAAACTATACGGAATAGACTCGCAGTAGGGGAACCTATTGAGGGTGTTCCGGTATTGGCTCCGCAGGTTCCCGCGGGAGGGGAGCTTGAGTTCTTTGACGTGAACCTGTCGTACACAGACCGCGGGACAACGTTTACCGTCCAAGCGCAATTCCGCACCGATAACCTCTACCTGGTCCGCTATCGCCGAGGAAACTCAGACCCCTGGCAAGAGCTGGATGGACGCGAGAACTATAACAGCTTGACGACGGACGCAGGCTTAAGATTGGAGGATATCCCGCTAAGCTCCAGCCACATCGGTGCGGCGATTACAACGCTGGGGGGGGTGAGACCAGCCCAAGGCCGAGAGCGCGTGCCATCCTTACGTTGATATTTGCCATCGCCGAAGCTGCCAGGTTTCGGGACATCTCCTCTCTCATTTCCCGCTCATGGTGGAGTGAATCGACTCCGGGCGAGTATTTTGCCAATCGGGTGCGGAGCTGGGCGAGACTGTCCTCTGCGGTACAGAGGACGCGGAATGAGGGCCACACCTTCGATTTTGATGGTGAATCGACAAACATCTGGGAGTTCATCGGCGCCATCAGGGCCCTTGGTATCATGCACCTGGCTTACACGACAAGTAGACCAAGACGCTCTACTCACGACATGGCCGGCACTTCTTATTCTACTTTTGCCCAAGGGCAGCCATTGCTCGAGATTTTTTACGTGCGTATCAATTCCTTCGATGGGGAGGTACCAGGCCAGCTTTACGGCGCCATCACCGTCACCGACAGCGCCCGCACCCACGGCATCTGGGAACACAAGCAGGACAAGTACGTCGAGATTTATCCAGGCGACAACGTCCTACTCGAAGGCCCGGACGGGCCTCTGTCGGCCGCCGACGAGTTCTATATCCAACTTCATCTCCGGGACTATGACGATGATTCTATCGCTGAGGACACTGTCGTGTTCAACCCGCTAGATTCCTTGACCGAGTACGATGTCTTTAGGAACCGCGAGGTTGCCGGCAACAACGGCTCCGTGACGGTGGGCTACGTAGCCATTACCGACGGCCTCTACGCACAGATCACCGTCATCCTAATCGACGGAGATGGCAACAACCCTGCCAAAGTATACGGAGAGATTACGGCAAAGAACGGTTATGGACAGAGCGAGCTCTTCCGCAAGTCGAACAGCAGTCAGCATGTCGATGTAAAGCCACAGCACGAGATCCCCTTGTCGAGGACTGTTATAGCCGTCCCCACCACGGGCACCCTGCGCGTTGATGCCAATCTCTGGGAACACGACGCAACCAGCGGTGATGACGAGATCGCATTTGGGTCCGTCGAGTTTCAGCCTCTGTACAAAATGTCGGAGAAAAAGACTATCACAGGCGAGTGTGGCGAGGTTGAGGTGAGGGTTTCCTGGATGTGATTTAAATATTTTCTTCCTTAGTAGTAATCTATCTATGGATATTTGTTTACCTTACTTACGGGAGAGAGTTCGAGTATAAAGTTAAAAATAACAATAGAAGATGCTAGATCCAATATCTCAACCCAGTGAATAGTTTACCTTGCTTGAATGTATCTAAGATGAGACTGAATGCCTACACGACTATAATAATAACTTTCTGAATGGGAACTGAATAGAGGGAAGGGGGGTATAGAAAGCAGCAGATAAATTATATAAATCTACCTAAGCACTGCTTTTCTATCTGCCGAGACTAGAATCGAAGCCTGTGCCGGCCATAACGCAGCGCAACAGTCCCTCTAAGTTCCAATCCGCCCGACGTGCAAGCCACCAGTGATGGCGATGTCAGTGCCTGTGGTGTAGCTGGATGCATCACTCAGCAGATAAATAATGGCACCAACAAGATCATCGCATGTCCCAATGCGTTGGAGCGGCGGCGTCTTGACCATTATTAGGTCCATCTCCGGATTCTGCTTTCGAACTTGCTGCGTCATCTCCGTGTCTATGAAGCCAGGTGAGATGCTATTGGTGCGGATCTGGTGCGGTGCGAGCTCGACAGCAAGAGACTCAGATAAAACCTTGACAGCACCCTTTGTCGCGCCATATGCAGACATTCTATGATGGGGCAGAACCGTATGGGACGTGATGGACGCGATCAAAACGATGCTACCGCCCTTGCTCTGTTGCTTCTTCATTTGAGCTGTGGCGAGTTGAGCAGTAAGGTATGTCCCCACGACCTACATGTGTCCGTTAGTTTCTTGAAGGTGAGAGAGAAGAACAATATTAATTTCTTACATTCACATCTTGAAGCCTTTTCGTTTCCTGAAAAGTGGTTTCTTCAAAAGCTTTCTCCAGCGCAATGCCTGCACAAGTAACACACCCATCGAGGCTCCCCAAAGTGTCAACAGCCAGTTTGAAGGCTGATTTTAGGCTCGCCTCATCGGTCACATCGCCCTGAAAGTACTTTGCTTTCACAGAGAATTCCTTCGCAATGGCATCGTAGTCTTGGCCAGGTTTGTTCTTGATATCGATTCCCACCACGTTGGCGCCAGCCTGGGCCAGAGCATTCACAACAGAGAATCCTATGCCCTGGGCTCCCCCAGTCACAATGAAATTGCGATTACTAATGTCAAAGCGATTGGAATTGCCCATGTTTTTGTTGTGCAACAATATTTCTGGGTATGAGGCTAGTATGTTATTAGACAGATGGCATTGGCCAAAGAGTTCAAGACATTTACAGACATCAAAATAAAAGAAGTGTCGTCGTGATTGTTATCCACGCCCATGGGACACTTCTTGAAGACGGCAATGTCGGAAAACTACGGTTCGGGGGATAAACCTGCATTGCATAGGAGAGTGCTATTGGCAAAGCTAAGTGGAGATGACCAATCCGGGGCCTGCCAATGGGTACGGAAGTTCGGAATTTGACACCATCATTAGTTTCCGGAACACATAGGAAAGGCTGAACTCTCTTGGGCACATGCCTTTAGCGGACAATTACTTGTGCTCATTCTGACACTCCTCGATCCTGCACCCAGTGCTGCTAGTTTCTCCAAGCGATAGATGAGACGGGGATAGATCGGGAGGCTCCTCGTCATTCCCAGAATCGCTGGAAACCCGAGATCGGCTTTGGCCGTTACTATTTTCAGACTCGAATCCTATTAATGGCTTCAATTCAAATCGTAAAAGCGACCTTGATGCTTGACATTCTTGCTTTGGACAACAACATCTCGAGTACACAGTGCCGTTACGAATTTCAAGTACCTACCCAGTTAACAATCTTGAGAAATGGCTACCACACAAGGATGGAGGCAGCTTGACATTGCCATCATTGGGGGCGGTATTGGTGGCCAAGCTAGCGCGACATCGTTGCGCCGACAAGGCCACAAAGTGACCATTTACGAGAGAGCGGACTTTGCTGGTGAAGTTGGTGCTTCCATCTCGTGCGCTGCCAACGGGACAAGATTCCTAGAGGAGTGGAAAGTGAACATTGAGCTTGGCGACCCCGTTGTACTGAAAAAACTCATCAGCCGTGACTGGAAGACGGGTGAGCCTGTCAGTGTGTATGACTTGGCTGATTACAAGGAGCGATGGGGATATGTAAGTGCTATACTCGGATGGATCTTTTGGTAACATTTCTCATTACATTGCAGACGTACTACATGTTCCATCGGCAATACATGCACACCATGCTCATGGACAGTGCCCTCTCGGAAAGTGGTGACGGAATTCCAGCAAAGTTGATTGTCAATCACAAGGTGGGCGTCTTGACAGGGCTTGTTCTATGACCTCAACTTACATTCTTTGCAGGCTGAGACCGTTGACCCTGAAACTGGGGAAATCACCTTTTCTAACGGGAACAAGGCAAAGCACGATGTCGTCATTGGAGCCGACGGAATCGGCTCAGCCGTCCGCAAATCTCTGGGCATTGAAGTCTCCAGGACTCCCGCCACTTGCACCTGTCTACACGCAAACGTAGACACGGAGAAAGCAGTAAAGCTCGGTCTGATTGACTACTCCCAGAACTCAGCCATTGAGTATTGGGGTGGCTATCACACGCACTATAAGATTGTCTTGTCCCCGTGCAATGGTGGTAAGCTCCTGTCGTACTACTGCTTCTTTCCTCGAGAGGCTGGCGATGTCCGCGCTCAGAAGTGGGATGAGGCATCCACCGTGGAAGAGCTCCTAGCCCCATACCCCGACCTTGATCGAAACGTGTTCAAGCATCTTGCACTTGGGTACGAGGTACGGCCCTGGCGCTTGTGGCTTCACGAGCCCTATCCCCTTTGGCAAAAGGGTGTTGCATGCATCATAGGCGATGCAGCCCATCCGGTAAGTCGACGACCGGCAGTTAGAAGCCTTCCTACCTTACTGACATATTCAGATGATGCCGGATCAAAGCCAGGGCGCATGCCAGGCGATAGAGGATTCAGGTGCGCTTGGCCTCGTTTTCAGCAAACAAAACTTCAATGGAGATATCAAACAAGCATTGGAGGTCTTTGAAGAAGTACGCAAGCCACGGGGAACAAAGGTTCAAGCTGCATCAGCAAGGGCTCGTGAAAATATTAACGAGAGAATTGGTAAGATTGATTTGCTTTATCAAAGCTCCAATTGGCTAACCCTATCTAGGCTTCTCGAGCAATACCGACAATGAGGTGTATGCAGTTGCAAACGAAGAGGGCAAGCTGACCATTGATGAAATGAACCGGTAAGTCCTAAATATCGCCAAATTATCAGAAAACAACTAATAATCGCTGTTTCAGGTACGATATGAAGGCTCACGTTCACGAGGTGCTCTTGAGGCGAAGGGGACAAGTGTCGGCGCCTACCAATGGCAAAGCGTAAGCTCGGGATTGCAACTAGCTCGGGCAAGACATTGAAGTCCTGCCACATGCGCTTGCCTCTACAATATAGCCAGAACTCCAGGTTAAATTTCGCGACGACTTGGAATAAAAATCAAAGGCAATTCCATTTGCTCTAAATTTGTGTGGCTAGCATCTTAAGTCAAGTACTAAACATTACTTGCTGAGCATTAAGTAGTTATGCTTTATACGTTCCATGTGAATAATTGATTTGATTACGAAACCACCCTTCGCACGCCATTAGGTGTATTTATCGTTAATTAGATGCTTTCTCCAAAGAGATTAAAGCTTGGGTTCCAGCGCCGCCGCTCTAATAATTGGAGATATCTGGAGTGCATTTGCAAGTGGTCAAGTTAGTAAGCCTTGATATTAGCTACCCTAGATGCTAGTCTGGTCCTTGGTCGGTCTCTGCTCATTTGCTGTTGTTTTTCTGTAAGCAAGGGTAGTTTCAGGCCACACGTGACTTTGTTTCAGAATTTTTATACCGAATGCCAGTTGACCCGAACCTTGATAAATATGGGTATCCGTGTGTTGAGGCCTACCCTACAGCGCCAACCTGTTGGTTCCCATACTGGAAAAATTGCAGCATACAAAGATTGGTTAAGATGAGTTCAATATTTGAGATATAATATTCTTTCTTCGAACTGACGGAGCCCATTTTCTTTTTATCTTAGATGGACGTTGGATGTATAAATTTCTTAACCAAAAGCAAATGTCTGGAACTGGATGTGAAAGATTAATGTGTTTTCAAATGGAAGAGATATCTGCTTACAAATCAGACAGAAGACTAAAATCTAGTATCTCATTGGTCCAAGCAAGGGTGCAGCGGACCCACAGTTCAAGTCTAACTATAATTGGGATAGCCCCCTAATCTTACGGTGGCCGCGGGAAGATGCTCCACTTGCCGGGGAAGCGACGCACAATCGGGGAAACGTCCCGACACATACGGAATCGTACCGGCTTTCATCTACCTACGCTAAACTCTTTTCACTCAGCAGTAGAAAACTATGGTATTGAGGGTGTTTATAAGGTCGTACCTAAATAACCAACAACTTGAGCCAAATATTATTATATCACGTCATATTTGAAAAAGAGGAAGAAAGAAATTGATGAAATTGATTGATCATTTTGAGAGAAAAGCACAGTACGTGAACTGAACAGCACAATACAACGTCGCAATGGGTGGTCTTCCTAATGGCAATCACACCAAGACCCATTTCGGAGCCAATCTTCCTCTCATTATTGATGGCAAGGATGTCACGACAGGGAACGTCATTTCTGTCATTAGCCCTCTGACCGACAAAGAAGTGTGGACAGCATCTGCTGCGTCTACAAAAGAAGCTCTCGATGCGGTGACGGCGGCTGAAAAGGCATTCCCGGCATGGTCCAAAACAAAACCCTCTGAAAGACGTGACCTTTTCTTACGTGTAGCAGAATTGTTTTTGGAGAGAAAAAAGGAACTACAGACAATCATTCATCACGAAATTGGGGCCGACGACCATTATCAGGAATTTATCATTGGCCTAGCTGTCGAAGGACTGAAAGACACCGCTGGCAGAATAGCGAGCGCGGTCGAAGGCCACGTTCCGGCTTCTATTCATGATGGCATGAGGGCTTTAATCCAGAAAAAGCCATATGGTGTCATCTTGGGGATCGCTCCTTGGTAAGTCTTCAGGTCTGCACAACGATATTATCCACTAATACTTTAGTTAGGAACGCGCCGTATCATCTTGGCTTAAGGTCCATCAGCTTCGCTCTTGCAGCTGGCAACACTACAGTTCTGAAGGGTTCCGAGCTCTCTCCCCTCTGTTACTGGGCCATTGCCGATATCTTCCGCCAAGCTGGGTTGCCAGATGGGTGTTTAAATTTGATCCTTCACCGACCGCAAGACGCGGCGGAGGTTACAACCGCGCTGATTGCCGACCCCCGCATTCGAAAAGTCAACTTCACCGGAAGCTCAGGCGTAGGCAGCATCATTGCAAGCCAATGTGGCCAGTACCTCAAGCCAGTTCTTTTGGAGCTCGGTGGAAAGGCAAGCGCCATTGTTATGGGCGATGCGGACCTGGAAAATGCCGCAAAGCATTGCGCTCTCGGAGCTTTCATGAATGTGAGATACATCCCTCTAATATCGTTCCCGAACTAGTTGATCAAAGCTTTCTTGCTAATGTTAGCCTAGGCGGGTCAAATATGCATGTCGACGGAACGAGTTGTGGTACATGCATCAGTTGCCTCCAAGTTTCAGCAGCTCTTTACCGAAGCCGTTGACAGGCACTTTTCTTCGGCTACTAATAAGCCAGCTCTGATCACATCTGCTTCTGCCAAGAGAAACAAGGAACTTGTGCAAGATGCACTCTCTAAGGGTGCGCAGCTGCTGCATGGAGACAAAGGGTCGACTTCTGCAGAAGGTGATGTGGCAACGAAAATGTCCGCAACAATTGTTAGCGGCATCAACGAGGACATGAGGCTGTATGCAACGGAATCATTCGGCCCTAGTACTTCATTATTTGTCTATGGATCCGAGGAAGAAGCTTTACGTTTGGTAAATAATACCGAGTACGGTCTGTCGGCAGCAATCTTCACCAATGATCTCGGGAAAGCTTTTCGATTTGCTGATGGCTTGGAGTCTGGAGCTGTACATATCAATTCCATGACCGTGCACGATGAATTTGCTCTCCCACATGGGGGAGTCAAAAAGAGTGGTTATGGGCGGTTCAATGGTTCCCAAGGCTTGGATGAGTTTTTGTACTACAAGTCAGTGACCTGGATGGAGTAATGCATTGAAGCTTGAAAGCACTTAGCAATAAAAAAATGTGATCCAAAAATAATTGAGTAGAACTATTCGCGATTTGATATTTTAAGAGAATTTAGCTTTAATTACATCGGAACCTCTGCAGAAGCTACCATCTAGGAGAATATGCATAGTAATGAATAACTCTGGGCAATTACTATGCAACACTAATTAACATTGGTAATGATAGTGCGTGACTTGACACACTCATCGTATTCACACTTTGAGACAATCGGACGTTAACATAGGGCTAGGACTACTTTGAAACCGTCTCACTCGCAGCTATTTCGACGCTGTAGAGGTTGATACTGTTGCCCAAAGGAGGCTAGGCGATCGTATTCTTTTCTTGGGCCGGTTTTGCGGTTTGTGTTTACCATCCGTTCAGGTTCGCCTACAGTCCCAATATAATACCTTCCTTTTTGAGGTTTATTTTATCAGTGAAGACGAATGAACATTGCTGTGCTCCTGATGCATCCCGGCCCGGAAAACGATAGATTACTGAGGAGTTGCATCAGGCTTTGAGTCTGTTTAGAAACACACAGGGGTTTTTGGGACAGCCTGCTTGTCGCCCCCCCAGGGTGGCTGAGAGTAAAAGCGGTGAAACCATAGATGTTGTTATCAATAACTGTCCTGCGCATCTTGAGGGTTGTTATGTTGATCTACCTCAGATATGGAAACTGGGCGGGCCATTCTACTAACTGCTTTATAGATAATATCAGCGTGCTTCAGGGTGATAGAAGGCCGGCGATTAGGGCTTCTCACTATCAGAGGGACTTGAACCTTGAATTGTGACCCCTTTCTATTCGTTGGCGTATAGCCTACAAATCAGGAACATTCCGAACGGCTTTCCGTGCCCATCTTCCAGCCAAGTCCCACAAGACCCGGTAGTCTAGATCGTTCGCCACTGATAAGCATCCTGGTATTTTGACGGCTTGCGCTACCCGAAACGCGGGGAAACTGCCGCTGAAGATATGTCATGTCCTTGCCTTTGATTGGGTCGTTTTGACCCGCCTTGCATAAGACCAAACTCAATACATACAAAGCCTGGCCCTTCCCATCTTACTTCGGACGGTTGGAACGAAGAGAATTGCCATCATCATTGAGATACTCAGGCGACTCATCCTATCCGTACATCTCGATTCTCTTTTGTTCCAACTTGATCACTTCGCATTTCGAGCCTAAAATTGATGAGGTTCCTCAAGAGTAAGTCCACAATGTTCGGCCGAAGCTTGTGAACTCTGACTAATGTTCTCGTTTCTTGCAGTGGCCTCTAAAAAACCAACCGCCGTGTCGATTGAAGACCTTGCCATCGTACCCACGAACGCTCAGTCGATTGTGGAGGTAGGCTATTGCCACCTATATTTCTCGGACACTTCTAGTTAATACGGCAGAAATAGACGTACAAGAACTTCAACACGCTCTCCATACTTTCCCTCGCTGTGTCCCTTATGGCAACATGGGAAGGACTCCTGAGCACGTTTGGTCAGGGCCTCAATGCAGCCGGCCCTGTGTCATTGGTCTACGGATTCATCGGTACGGTCTTTTAGGTCACCTTGGCCAAGTTTGAGAGGCACATGTTGATTGGATTCTTTTTTAGTTGCGTTCATCGGCAGCACTGCGACCGCCGCGTCCCTATCCGAACCAGCATCGAGGTTTGTTGTATAATTCAAACGCCCGAGGCTTCATCGAGCTCATAATGGTTTTCAAGGTATCCTACGGCCGGCGGCCAATACCACTTTATGGCCATGCTGAGCTCCGACAAGCATCGGCCATGGCTCAGTTGGTATGCGGGTTGGCTGACGATACTCGGTTGGCTCGCTTTGACTGCTAGTGCCCCTTTTGCTGGGGGAACTCTGATCCAGGGCCTCGTCACGCTCAACTATCCGGATTACGTCCCTGAGAGATGGCATGGCACCTTGCTCTATCTCGCCATCCTTGCTATTGCCTTTGCCCTCAACTTATGGGGAAGCAAGCTGCTTCCACTGATAGAGAATGTCATCATGGCTCTGCACATCCTCTTTTTCTTTGCCATACTCATCGCCGTTGCGGTGCTTCCCCGCCA